CTCCCCCGGACGAGCCGCGGCCCGAGAGAGCGTGCCGAGCTACCCCGTCCGACCCGCCGCGGCGCCCTCGCCTTCCCCGTCGCGTCGTGGCCCGACGGCGAGCCTTGCCCCCCCCCTCCGCAGTGGACGAGCACGGCGAGATGAAGCAGGAGGTCTACAACCTCGCCGCGTACGCGATCGAGCAGTACGTGACGGAGATGGAGGTGAGCAAGCACATCAAGGCCCACTTCGACCAGAAGTACGGGCCGACCTGGCATTGCATCGTCGGCAGCGACTTCCGCGCCTACGTGACGCACGAGAGCAAAAACTTCATCTTCTTCTACCAGGGGAAGACCGCGATATGCCTCTACAAGTGCGGATGAGCGCCGCCGCCGCCGCGCGCGAGCCCCGACTGTGCCCCTGTGTGTTGTCCCGCGAGCCGCCTTCCGACCCTCCCGCCCTCGCTCCTAGTAAAATTAGAAAAAAAACGACGGCGCTGGTGGAGCGCCGGCGATCTTCGAGGAGCTCGGGACGACGCGGGAAGGCGACGCCCCGCTACGCTGGAACCAGGGACTTCGAACTTAGGGCGCATACTACTGCGCGTGCTGCACGTCCGCCAGGTTCAGCACGGGGATCGAGCCGTCGTCGCGGTCGCAGGCGGCGTCGCTGCCGTCGCAGGAGAAGAGCCCGCCGCCGCCGTCGGAGCAGATGGGCTCCGGCGCGCCGCCGGCGACGGGCTCCGTCTCGAAGAGGCGCTTCGTGAAGGAGTAGGCGCCCGGCGTCGCGTCGTCGTTCTTCACCTCGAGCGACACGGAGCTCGGCGGGCCCGGCTTGCGCACGGTCGCGAGGGCCGCCTTGATGACGGCGCGGAACTTGGCCTTGCGCAGCGCGCGCTGGATGTTCGACGCGGAGCGGTGCTTGAGGTACGCGCTGTACGCGCGGCGGCTCGGCCTACGAAAGCGACGGTCTCGCGAGCGCCAAAACTAAAAGAACGACGTACGGGTGCGCGTCGACGAGGTGCTTGATCATGGCCTGGAGGCGCTCGGCGCCTACCGAGCACGACGGTGACGATTGTTTTCCCACGGCCACAAGGACGCCGCTCGGCGCCCTGGCGGTCGCCCTTGACGAGGAAGTAGAGCACGGAAGACCGGTCGATGCCCTCGATGTTGTCCGCGATGACCGGCGACGCGCCCCACTGGTCGCGGCGGCGCGTCTCCTCGGAGAGGAGGTGGATCGCCGCCGCGATGGTCCGCCGCGCGTCCTCGCCCGCGTCGACCATGACCTCGAGCAGGACGGGCACCGCGTCGAGGATGTTGCGGTAGAAGCGCGCCTCGTGGCTGTTCGAGTAGTTGTTCGTGATGGACGTGTCCGCGACGTAGGGCTTCATGATGGCCTCGAGGGCGACCCACTCGTCGAGCACCGCCGCGCCGCCGTCGCGGAAGTAGGGCGACATGCAGAACGACCGCAGCATGGGGCCCTTGAACGTGCGCACGAGCTCGAGGTCCTGGTTGGCGCCGCTCGCCGCCAGCGTGCCCGTGACGTCCGAGACGCCCCCGATGACGCGGTCGACGTCGATGCCGACGGCCTCCACGGCGGACTTGGCGCCGCTCGCCGCCAGCGTGCCCGCGGCGACGCCCGCGGCGCCCGCGGCGACGACCGTGCGCGCGCCCGCGGCGCCCGCGGCGGCGACCGTGCGCGCGCCCGCGGCGCCCGCGGCGGCGACCGTGCGCGACGCGTCGCGCTTGACGCGCGCCGCGACGCCCCCGAGCGCCCGCCACGACGGCGACGACCCCGTCGGGTCGGCGACCTTCGTCTCCTCGACGCCGAGCCCCTCGATGCGGAGCTTCGGCGGCGTCGACGGCGACGACGGCGCGAGCAGGCGGCTCGACATCTTGCGGAGCAGCGACGGCCGCGGCGTCGGGCTCGCGAGCTTCCTCAGCGCCGTCGTGATGGACCGGGAGGCGTAGTTCTGCGACGCGACGTCGTTGACCTCGGCCGTCGCGAAGCGCACCGCGAGGCCGACGTAGCCCGCCTGGCTCACGTAGAAGAGGAAGACCCACCAGCGCGTCTCCGACGCCTCGGCGATGAGGCCCTGGGACGTTGTGAGCATGCCCAGCGCGAGCACGAGGATGGACATGCAGAGGCCCAGGAGCTCGAAGAGGTTCAGCACGGGCTCGAGAAACGGGTTCAGCTTGCTCTGGACGACGCAGACCTACCAAGCACGACGGTAACGATGTTGACAGGTGTCTCGACTGGTGTCTCGACGGGTGTCTCGACGGGTGTCTCGACGGGTGTCTCGACGGGTGTCTCGACGGGTGTCTCGTCAATCTCTTCATCTCTCGAAAGTCGTCGCGGCCACGGGACGCTGCCGCAGACGGAGAGGAGCACGAAGATGCCCGTGATGGCCTGCGTGTAGGGCCACTCCCAGAGCACGACGGAGACGATGACGAGCGCGGCCTGCTTGAGCCTACGACGGTTCCGCGGTGACGTTCGCTCCCGCGATCGGCGCCGGCGCGATGCATGCGCACAAAGGCCCAGTAGAGCGCCTCGGGTCGCAGGTCCGCGTAGAGGAAGCCCAGGTACGCGAGGGCCTGCGTGGTTTTTTTGGGACGGCGGCGCGCGGGGAGGGGCGGAGGCGCGACGCGCCTCGGGCTCGCAGAGGCGGTTGCGCTTGCGGAGGTACCACATGCGGCCGAGCACGAGCGCGGGCACGCCGACGACGAGCACGGCGAGGTAGACGACGGCGACGAGGCGCATGTTCGCGACCTGGGTCGTCGAGCACGACTCCTCGGGCGCGTCGACGAGCATGGAGCCGTAGCCGACGATGTCGCGGCAGGCGAAGGTGCCGAGCGTGTAGCTCAGCAGGCTCGGCGTCGAGCCGAAGAGGAAGGAGATGGTCGAGCCGACGGTCTCGAGCCAGTCCTCGGCGCCGCGGTCCGTGAGCGCGAGCGTGTAGCAGACGCCGTAGACGCCGTAGAAGAGGGGCATGGCGATCATGAGGTAGAACGTGTGCGTGAAGCCCCAGACGGGGAAGGAGCAGGACGGCAGGTACATGTCGACGTCGAAGAGCGCGATGTTGTAGATGGCGAAGAGCGCGTCGAGCTGCGGCGGCCAGTAGAGCCAGAAGCCGGAGATGACCCCCAGGTCCTGGAACGAGTCCAGCACCACGTCGAGCACGGAGAAGCGCGGCCGCACGACGTCGTTGATGAAGATGAAGAGCAGGAAGAGGAGGAACCAGGCGAGCGCGGTCTTCGCCGTGCGGTACCCCTCCGCGGGGCAGCGGTACGTCTGCGTCGAGAAGCTCCAGTAGGACACGCCGTCCGCGGACGTCTCCAAATCCTCGCACATGGGCTGGAACGCGTCCTTGCCGTAGTCGCACCACTTCTCCGGCGCCTCGAGCGCGAGGGGCTCGCCCCAGGGCCCGCGGCACGTGCCGTTGTGCGACTCCGCGTAGGCGCCGGCGCACGCCGCGGGCCGCGAGCCGCCGAGGCAGACGAACGTGAAGCGGCACCGCAGCACCTCCGCCTCGTGGTCCGCGACGGGGTTCGTCCAGTAGTAGCGGTCGGGGAAGGGCTGCGCGAGGCCCCCGTCGCACGTCGCGTACTCGCCGTCGCACGACTTGCAGTCGCCGACGGGCCAGGTCCGCGAGTAGTGGCCGGGCATGCAGTTGCAGGCCAAAACGTCCGTCGAGCCGACGACGCCGGACGTCATCGCGTTCGCGGGGCAGGACGTGCACGTCGGCGACCCGGCGTCGGGGGCGTAGGTGCCGTCGGGGCACCTAAGGAGCGGACGGTGGTCTTTTGAAGAACAGGAGCAAGCACGACGCCGGCGCTTTTACTTGATGCACGAGTTGTGGCCGTCGGTCGTCCGCGAGTTGTTCTGCGACGTGCCCGGCGGGCACGCGTGGCACGACATCGTCCCGTAGTCGAGGAAGAACCTACGCGACGCGCTCGCGCTCGACGCTCAATTTGGGGGACTCGGGCGACGCACCCGCGGTCGCACGACGTCTCGCAGGAGCAGTCGTTGGGGTGGAACCTACCGAGCGCGCCGGTGGCGTGTATCCCGGTCGAAAGTCTCTCGCAGTTCGACGTTCGACACGCTGGAAAAAGACGTCGCGTTGTCGTAGCACATCGTCGTGTGCCCGCCGACGCAGACGCCGCCGTTGTCCGGGCAGCGGCCCCCGGCCTCGGCGCAGGCGACGACCTTCTCCCCGTAGACGCGCGCGCCGCCGTAGACGTGGCCGTCGTCCGACCGGTCCGTCGCGAAGGACCTGGGCAGGACAAGAGAGATTCAACGTCGCTTCAACGTGAGTGTTCCGCGCGCGCGCGTTCCGGAAAAAGCATCCACGCTTCGAGACCGTTCCGAGAGATGATCTCTCGTCCAAAAATCAGCCAAAACGAGTGGAAAACGGCCGAGATATGAGCCTTTGAAGTTGGGAATTTCGCTCTCTTGTCCTGCCCTGCGAAGGACAGCGTGAGCACGTCGCCGGCCGCGACGTCGACCTCGAGGAGCTCGCGGACGCCGCAGAGGCCGTCCGCGCAGACGCCCGTCATCCACTCCTCGCCGCAGTTCTCGTCGAACTCGCACGTCGCGGTCCGCAGCGTGAAGAGCGACGCGCCGTTGCTCGAGATCGTCATCGCGTCGCCTGAGTCCGGCTCGAGGTCGAAGGTCTCGACGTCGAAGCGCACGGCGCCGGCCGACGCCACGGTCAGCGAGCTCGCGCAGGCGGCGAACGCGGGCACGGCGCGGCCCTCGGGCTGCGACGCGAAGTCGATGACGTCGCCCGCGACGTCGCCGTCGAAGGCGCAGCGCGGCGACCCGCAGCTCAGGGACGTCCAGCCGACGTCGCACGCGCACGCGCCGTCGTCGCCGCAGGCGCCGCGGCCGCCGCAGGTGGCGTCGTGGTCGCAGAAGGCGTCGACGACGTAAAAGTCCGCGGCGAAGCCGCCGGCCCGGCCGATGGCGTCCGTGAGCAGCTCGAGGCGCACCTCGCCGTCGTCGCCCGCGGCCGCGGCGAGCGTCGCGGCGCCCGCGCCCGTGAGGCGCGTCGGCGCGGACCCCGCGGCGACGACGCTCAGGAAGTCGAACGTCTCCTGGAGGTCGTAGGTTATCTCGAAGACGACGACGCGGCCCGGCGCCGCGGCCACGGCGAAGGCGCACGCGAGGTCGTTGTCGTAGGTGCCGGCGAGCGGCGCGCCGGGCTGCGACGCGAAGGACCCGGCCGTCGCGCCCTCCGGCGCGCGCGTCGTGCCGAAGCAGGCCTCGCGCGCGCAGTCGCCGCCGCCGAATCCCGCGTCGCAGCGGCAGAGGCCCGTGGCGGCGTCGCAGGCGCCGCGGCCCGAGCAGTCGCCGCACGCGGCCGCGTCGGAGTCGTAGGTCGCGGCCCAGCCGTCGGCGTCGAGCGCGCCCGCGTAGGCGCCGAGCGGCGCGCGGAGCTCGCGGATCGAGGCGACGTAGGCCGGGTCGCCCGTCCCCGCGAGCGCCTCGAAGGACGCCGTGAGCCACTCGACGAAGATGGGCCCGTCGTGGCGGACGACGACGCCGGCGCCCGCGCCCGTGAGGCTGCCGAGGGGCTCGCCGTCGGACGAGTTGCCGCCGTAGAATCTGAGCGCGTCGCCGTGCCAGATCGCGTGGTCGCCGACGACGATTTCCGTGCGCGCGCCGCCCTCGAGGAGCCACGCGCAGGCCCACTTGCGGCCGTAGGTCGCGTTCGGGCCCGAGCCCTCGGAGAAGGCGCCCGACCCCGGCGGGAGGCGCGTCGCGTTGCGCTCGCCGTAGATGCCCGCGCTGAAGGCGCACGAGCTCGCGCCGGGCGCGATCTCGAACGCGTCCGCGGGCCGCGACCCGTAGGCGCGGCCCGACGCCGCGTCCATCAACGCCTCGAGGTCGTAGTCCGCCGACGCGTTGAGGTAGGACCCGTCGAAGATGCGCGAGAAGGCCGCGAGCGCGAGCGCCGGGTCCGCGCCCGCGGGCGCCTGGGCAGGAAAAGGGTGCGAAATTCCCAACTTTGGAGGCTCCTATCTCGGTCATTTTCCACTCGTTTCGGCTGATTTTTGGACGAGCGATCATCCCTCGGAGCGCTCTCGACGCGTGGATGCTTTTTCCGGAACGCGCGCGCGCGGAACGCTCACGTTGAAGCGACGTTGAATCACCCCTTTCCTGCCCTGGCGGGCGCGAGCGGCGCGACGATCTTCCGCGAGACCAGGAACTGCGCCTGGGCGATCATGGAGCTCAGCGCGATGGACGCCGTGCAGCCCGCCGTCGCGAACCAGGCGCAGCTCAGCTGCTCGTCCTTGGACAGGATCTCGACGGCGAAGAGCGTCTGCTGCACGTGCGACCGGTCGCCCGAGTCCGCCGGGTCGTAGCGGCTCGTGCCCGGGCCCAGGTACTCGTGCGCGTCGGCGATCGCCGCGAGGAACTCGTCCTCCCGGCGCACGGGCCAGTAGGACGACTTGCCCGCGGCGCCCTCCTCGATGTAGTGCGCGTCGGCCGCCGCGGCGACGCCGAGGAACGCGGCGAGGTCGTCGCCGCGCGCCGCGGCGAACGCGCGCGACGTCACGAGCATGGTCCACGTCGGCTGCGAGTAGGAGCCGAAGAGGGACGCGGACATGAGGAGCCGCGCGCCGTCGGCGTACAAATCCTCGCAGAGCTCGGCCCGGCAGAACGCGCCGTCGATCGCGCCGCTCTTCCACGCCTGGCGATGCGACGTCGCTTCAACGTGGGCGTTCCGCGCGCGCGCGTTCCAGAAAAAAAGCATCCACGCTTCGAGAGCGCTCCGAGGGATGATCGCTCGTCCAAGAATCAGCCGAAAACGACCGAGCTAGGAGCCTTTGAAGTTGGGAATGTCGCACCCTTTTTCCTGCCCCGAGCGTCACCGTGTAGAGCCGCATCACGCCGCCGGACTCCGCGATGTCGAAGGAGGGCAGGTAGGACTGGGCGAAGTCGAGGTGGAAGTGCGTGCTCCAGCCGTAGACCTGCGGGAGCGCGCGTCGCGCCGCGTCTTTCGTTCCCCGGGGCGCGGCCGACGCGCGGTGCCGAAGGTCTTGCCCTCGATGTCCGCCGGCGAGAGGATCGACGGGTGCACGACGAAGGCCTCGGACTGGCCCGTGCCGTGCGCGATGTAGACGCCCAGGACGTCGACGCCTGCCGGGGCCGCGGTCGCGGCCGCGCGCGCGCGCGGGACGCCGCGGGAGGGGACCGGCGCCGACCATGGACCCGAAGGTCGTGCTGTCCACGACGACGACGTCCGCCTCGCCGTTGTCCAGCGCCAGGTACGGGTCCGCGAGCTCGAAGCAGCGCACGTCGACGCCCGCGGCGCCGAAGAGGTCCCGCGCGCAGGCGACGTCAAAGGGGTGACCCTGGGGGTCGTAGGCGAAGCGCAGCGGCGTCGTTGCTGCTGCGGGCGCCAGCAGGAGCGCCGCGAGGAGGCGCCACATCGCGGCCAGGTTCGCGGCAGAGGACAGCACGGCCGCCAAAAGTCGACGACGCCTCCCTGACCTGCTCGCTGCTCCGAAGCATCCAATTCCAATTTGTTGACTTTCAACCACCGAAGCTTCGGGGCTGCATCGAGTCAGTGTCCACTGCAACACTGACCTTGAGATTTTGATGAACCGACCGAGTGAAACATGGGCGCTCGGTTTTAAGAGCTTTTAAAAACCGCAGGCCCTGAGAACCATCCTAAAACCCCGCGCGTCCCGGACGCCGAGCCTCGGCGCGCGCGCACGAGCTCCCACCGCCGCGTCGCCCGGCGCGATGAGCCGCCTCGCGCCCTGGACCTGCGCGGGGTGCGGCATGGACCAAAGCGACGGGTCGCCGCCGCACGCGCACCCGCTCTACCCGCAGGCGCCCGTCTGCGGGTCGTGCCTCGCCACCTACAACCTGGGCGAGTTCGAGGTGCGGGGCGGCCACGAGATCTTCTGCCGGCTCTGCGGGAACGGCGGCGACCTCTTCCTGTGCGACGCGTGCCCGCGGGGCCTGTGCGTGGACTGCGTCGGGCGCACGCTGGGCCCGAGCTACGCGGCCCGCGAGGGCCGGTCCGACGCCGAGTGGCGCTGCTTCGAGTGCGACGAGAAGAAGCTCGCGGAGGCCGCGCGGCGGAAGCGGTGGCGCGGCATCTTCGAGGCGACGGACAGGTGGCGCCGGGGCCAGCTGCGGCCCGCGAAGCAGCAGAAGACGGCGTCGGAGCGCCGGGCCGCGCGCGAGGCCGAGGAGCTCCGGCGGAAGCGCGCCCAGGCGGAGAAGCGCCGCGAGGCCGAGCTCCGGCGGCAGGAGAAGGAGTGGCGCGTGCTCATCAGCGACGTGTCCAACGGCATCGAGCGCGTGCCCATCCGCGTCGTCGGCGCGACGCACGGCCCCCTGCCCGAGCCCTTCTCCTACGTGCGCGAGAACATCCCCCACGGCGACTTCCAGCCGTCGGACGACCCGGCGTTCCGCGCGTGCTGCGACTGCGCCGACGGCTGCGCGGACCCGACGAGGTGCGCGTGCGTGCGGCGCACGGGCGACCGCCGCGCCTACGACGACGACGGCTGCGTCGACTGGGCCAACGAGTTCCCCGCGATCTACGAGTGCAACGCGTCCTGCGCGTGCCGCGACGGGCCGGGCGGCTGCAAGAACCGCGTCGTCGGCGCCGGGCTCACGCTGCCGCTCGAGGTCTTCCGCTGCGACGCGCGCGAGCGGGGCTGGGGCGTGCGCTGCACGCGGACGATCCCCGCGGGCTCCTTCGTCGCCGTCTACTGCGGCGAGCTCCTGACGGACGAGGAGGCGGACGCGCGGGGCCGGACGCGCGGCGACGAGTACCTCTTCAACATGGACTGCTACCAGATCGACGCCGCGCGGCCCCAGACGTCCAAGTCCGACGACCTCTTCGAGCTCCACGGGCCGCCGGAGCAGTCGTCGGCGTCGTCCGCGGCGACGCCGCCGGAGCCGTCGCCGCCGCCGTCCGCGGCGACGGACCCGGCGTCCTCCCGGACGCCCGCGACGCCGACGGCGTCGAAGCGGCCCGCGGCGCTGTCGCCGACGCCCCTGCGCGCGACGCCGCGGCCGCCGCGGGCCGACGGCCTCGACGCGCCCGTGTGCCTCGACGCGAAGTGGTACGGGTCCGTGGGCCGCTACTTCAACCACTCCTGCGAGCCGAACATGGCCAAGCAGATGGTCTTCGTCGACTCCCAGGACGTGCGCACGCCGAAGATCGCCTTCTTCGCGCTCTGGGACATCCCGCCGAAGACGGAGCTCACCTACGACTACGGCTACGAGGTCAACCAGGTCCACGGCCGGTCGCTCGCGTGCAAGTGCGGCGCGGAGCAGTGCCGGGGGCGGCTCTACTAACCTAGGCGAGGAAGTAGGCGTAGGCGAAGGGCGCCGCGAAGCAGGCCGCGAGGAACGCGTAGACCGCGGGGAAGATCTCGGGCAGGTTCTGCTGCACGGCCATCGCCGCCAGGTACAGCGCGCCGCCCAGCAGCCCCGCGAAGGACAGGTAGCCCTTGAGGTCCGTGACGTGGAGCGGGTCGAGCTCCGCGCGCAGCGCCTTGAAGGACGCGACGTTCTCGCCCGTCCACAGGCCGCTCTCGTCGCGCCGCGCCGCCAGCGAGCGGAACGCGGTCAACCGGTCCTCGGCCGAGAGGAAGGCCTCGCCGCCGAGGAGGTCGATGGACGCGTCGTCGTGGGGGAGCGCGTCGTAGATCCGGGCCATGGCCAGGCCCGCCTCCGTCGCGCTCTTCGACGCCGTGAAGGCGTCGAGGCCCTGGGCGATCTGCGCCGCGGCCTCCGCCGCCGCCGCGCTCACGGAGCGCAGGCGCGTGCGGCGGCGCGCCGGCGGCGGCGCGCGCGCGGTCGGCGGCGCGCGGAACGACGCCGTGAGCGTCGCGCAGGCGAGGAACGCGACGGCGCGCATCGATCGCGATGCAGCTCGTCGCGGTGCAGCCATCGTGGCAAGCTCGTCGCTGGCTCGTCGCCGGGGGGCCGGCGCTCGCGGCCCTCGACTCGTGACGTCGTCCGCCAACTGCGCCGCTCGACGCCGTACGCCTCGCCATCGGCCGACGCTCGTCACGATGCTGTCAATTTAGTCCTCGCTCCGGCAGCAGTGCAACGCGCCGCCCGGGGGCGGGCCGCGGCAGTAGCGCTCCGCGGTCCCGTTGCGGCGCAGGATCGGCTTCGCCGCGCAGCGCCGGCAGGGCTCGAAGCGGGGCTCCGGGCACGCCGCGGACGCCGCGCGCGGTTCGACGCGGACGTCGCTCGCGTTCCGCGCGAATGGCAGCAGCTGGACGTCGGCGCGGTGGAAGATCGCGAAGCGGTGGCCGAAATGCGCCTCGACCTCGCGCACGGCGCGCGCGTCGGCCGTGTCCGCGGTCGCCGCGGCCTCGTGCTTCGACGACGGCCGTCGCCACTTTTCCGCCCGCACGCGCGCCGCCGCCGCCGCGACGTGGCCCGGCGCGAAGGCCGTGCCGTTGGCGTGCGCGAGCCCGAGGAAGGCGGCGACGGCCTCCGCGGCCGCGCCGTAGTCGTCGGCGAGCGATTCGTAGCGCAGCACGCGCCAGACGCGGGCGTCGAGCGCCGCGGCGTCCTCGGCGAGCGTCGCGAGCTGGACGGCGATCATGAGCGCGTGGCCGCGGCCGCCGCCGTCCCAGGGCGGGTGCGAGAAGACCGCGTGCGCGAAGTCCCGCCAGAGGAAGACGACCTTGAGCGACGGCACGGACAAATGGAAGAGGCGCACGTCGAGGCGGTCCGAGCGCCGGTGGCGCTCGAGGGCGTCCTCGAGCGTCGCGCGCCAGTCGCCGCCGCAGCGGTAGCAGTCGTCGGAGACCGCGGGCGCCCAGTGGCCCGGGAAGAGGCCGCGCGCGCCAGAGGGCCGGTCGTCGAAGCAGTGCGGGCCCGCGTAGAGCAGCGAGAGGCGCTCGGGCTCCGTGACGCGGCGCTTGCTCGGGAAGGACTCCCAGCCGACGGCCGCGGACGCCGGGCACTCGAGGCCGGGGTCGTAGTCCGCCTGCGTGAAGGGCATCTCCGTCACGAGGACGCAGTGCTTGAGCGGCGTGCCCGTCGTCTCGGCGATGAGCGGCGCCAGGAAGCCGCTGACGACGCCGTGGTGGCCCGCGCCCTCGACGCCGGCGACGAAGACGTCGTAGCGCGGGCGGCCGGGGTGCCGCCGCCGCGACAGCGCCGCGACGTCCCGCATGGGCGTGCAGGCCTTGCCGTCGGTGACGGACCGGTCCGTGTCGATCGTGGACAGCATGAATTTCAACTCTTCCGCCGGCTTCTTCTTCGGCGGCCGCGACGCGCCGAGCAGCAGCGTCGCCGCGGCGACGAGGGCGCGCATCCTCGTCATGGGCTGCCTCTTTCCATCATCGCGCGATCATCGCGCGATCAGAGCTTCATTGAACGCAGTTGACCAAGTTATTGAAGGGGATGCGCGCCCGACTGCGTCCGTCCGGGGGGGGGGAGGCACGCCCGCGGAGGGAACCAGACCGAGCAGGCGCGGGGCGGCAGCTCCTGAGTCGCCTCATCAGACGACACTCAACGGACTCTCCGTGGGCCGGGGGAGGTTGAGAACGAGGGCACTCGCACGCAAACGAGCAGGAACTCCGGGTGGACCAGCCCGATTCACCTCGAGGACCACGAATGGAGGCCGAGGGCGCACGCCGAAGAGGTCGCCCGCCGGCCAGCGAGCGGGAGCAGAGGCGGCAGCAGAAGCAGAAGCAGAGGCAGAGGCAACAGGTCTCGGCGGCGTCGGCAGAGGCAGAGGCGGGCAGCAGAGGCAGCAGAGGCGGCGGCAACAGAGGTAACAGCGGCAGCGGCAGCAGGGGCCGAGACGACAGCGGCACCGGCGGCAGAGGCAGAGGCAAGCGGCGGCAGCAATGGAGGAAGAGCCGATGCAGAAGAGGAGGACACCGCGGCGTGGGCGACGAAGAACTCGCCGAACGTCGACGCAAAGGCGCGAGCAAGATCATCGCGCAGCGGCGGCGCGGCCCAAGGCGGCACGCAAGCGGAACCTGAGGAGGTGCACGTGGGAGCACACCCTGAACAGGCGCAAAAAGGTAGAGAAACGAATGGACGCTGGCACATCCAAGCCCACAAACCGAAACCGCCGGGGGCGCCAACCCGCCCAGCTCCCCTCGAGGCTCGCGCCGAAGGCCTCCAAGCGAGGCGAGCGCGCGCGACAGTCGCCCAACCCGCAGATGACGTCCGCACCGATGGCCAAGAACTGGAAGTCCCCGCGCGCGGCGCCCCGCAGCCCAACCGGTGCGCGCAGCGGGCTGCCCCTTCATGAGCGCCCGCCCGGCCCGACGCAGCGAGCGTCACTATCGGGTGTCGCGCAGGAGCACTCCCGCGCGCCTTCCAAAGGCCGCCCCATAAGGTGGCAGCGTTATTCAAGTTGCACCCTAATTACAGCACCTCGTGAGCTGCTCCTTCGTGTGGACGCACCAGCGCCCCTCGCCGCCCTTGGCCGTGGTCGTCACGGGCACGGGCGTGCAGCGGCGGCAGGGCTCGAGCTTCGGCGCGAGGCAGGTCGCCGTCGTCCAGTTCGCGGGCGCCGCGGCCTCGTCCCGCTTCTTCTTCTTGCTCTTCAGCCTGATCAACCGTCGCCTCTCCACGAAGGGCACGAGCTGGTGCTCGGGGCGGAGGAAGATGGCCCAGCGGTCGCGGAAGGCCTCGTCGACCTCCGCCGCCCGCTCGTGGTCCTTGGACGCCTTCTCCGCGCTCGCGGCGTGCTCCGACGACGGCTGGCGCCACGCGCGCGACCGCGCGAGCGCCGCGGCCTCGCGGACGGGCATGGACGGCGCGTAGCCGAGAAAGTCGACGATGGCCTCGGCGGCCTCGCTGTAGGAGCGGGGGTTCTGGAGCGCCTCGTAGCGCAGCACGCGGAAGGAGCCGTTCGTCATGTTCCGCGCGTCGTCGGCCAGCGCCGCCGCGTGCGCGGCGAGCATCATCGCGTGGCCCCGGATGCCGCCGTCCCAGGGCGGGTGGCTGAAGACGGAGTGGATGAAGTTGCGCCAGAGGAAAATGACCTTGAGGCTCGGGAAGCCGCGCTGGAACGCCGCGACGCTGAGCCGGTCCGACCGCGCGTGGCGGACGTAGAGATCCTCGAGCGTCGCGCGCCAGCCGCCGCAGCGGTAGCAGGAGTCGGGCTCCTTGAGCTTGTTCCAGCGGCCGGGGAAGCGGCCGGCGGGCACGTTGCCCGCGAGGCAGTCCGGGCTCTCGTAGAGCATCGCGTAGCGCTCGTTCTCGAAGACGCGCCGCTTGCTCGGGAACGACTCCCAGCCGACGTTCCCCCGGGCGACGCAGCGCGCGCCCTTGCCGCCCCGGTCCATCTCGTAGAAGGGCATTTCGCCCGTCTTGATGCAGGCCTTCTCCTCGGCGCTCTCGATCTGCATGGTGTGCTTGATCAGGGGCTGCAGCAGCCCGAGCACGACGCCGTGGTGGCCGCTGCCCTCGACGCCGGCGACGAAGATGTCGACCTGCTTCGAGCGCTTCGCCGGCGAGTCGTTCTTCCGCGGGTCCCGCACGGAGCACGACGAGCTATCGGCGAAGCGGGCGAGCACAATCGCTGCGATGAGCCATCGCATCATCCAGCCGGCCGGGCGGGTGTTGCCGACTCGGAGGCGCCGAGCCGGCGTTGCCGTCTAGCCGCGTCCACGAGGATCGAGTGGCTCGCCGGGGTCTCGAGGCAGCCGGGGGGGGGCGGCGCGGCGCGCCGGCGGCCGATGGCGAATAATGGCGGCCAGTGGACACTCCAGTGGCATTTTGCGATGGCCCCTATACAGCTGTAGGCATGCTGGCGGGCCTTGCGACGCTGCTGCTCGCGCGCGCCGTCGCCGCCGTCGACGACCCGTCCTGGGACGTGCACACGCCGACGAACGCGACGTGCCTCGGCGGCTGCGCCTGCCCGGCGCGGCTCGCGGCCTGCGTGCCCACGGCGCCGTCCAAGGACATGAAGGTCTTCGCGTCGAGCCTCGCGTCCCTCGCGGAGCACGCCGTCGACATCGAGTCGATCCACGTCGTGTCGCGCAAGTCGCCGGAGGTCGACCGGGTTATCGCCGCCGTGAACGCGCGGCGCCACCGGGGCCGGCCGGAGAACTTCGTCAAGTGGTTCGACGAGGACGGCGGCCACTTCCCCTTCGACTACGCGTCCATCAAGCGCCACCTCGAGACGCGCTCGGGCGCGCACCACGCCGGGAGCTACCAGTACGCCGTGGGCTGGTACCTCCAGCAGCTCCTGAAGCTCTACTGCGGCCGGGGCATCGCGCGCGCCGACGCCGGCGGCGGGCCGGGCAACTGGACCGCGGAGGACGTCGCGCGCGCGCCCGACCGCGACACGCTGATCGTCGACAGCGACGTCGTGCTCCTGCGGGACGTCGCCTTCGTCCACGGCACGGCGAACAGCGCCGGGCGCTGCGACGCGACGTACGCGTACGCGTTCTCGCGGGAGTCGCACGGCCTCTACTACGACACGAACAAAAAGCTCCTGGGCGACGACGACGGCAAGCCCCTGCCCGACGCCGCCGGCCGCGACATCTCGGGGGTCGTCCACCACATGGCCATGCGCGCCGACGTCCTCGCGGCGCTCGACGCGCGCGTCTCGGCGCTGCACGGCGCGCCCCTGTACGACGCGCTGCTCCGGCCGGCCGTCGGCGTCGTCGCCGAGGCGCACCGCAACGCCTTCTCCGAGTACCAGTTCTACTTCCACTACGCCCGGCGCGCCTTCCCGGCGAGCGTCGCCGTCCGCCAGCTCTACTGGGCCAACGGGCCGGGCCCGAAGACGATCGTCGAGTGCGAGGCCGCGGACGGCTGGCCCGCGGGCGCGCAGCGCGGCGCGCGCGACGACGCCGACATCCGCGCGATCGACTTCAAGGCGGGCTACGACTACGTCGCCTACCACTCCTACGCGAAGCGCCGGCCCTGCGTCTACGGGCCCGCGGACGACCGCCGCGACGGCGGCGCGTGCTTCGGCGGCGGCTGCACGTACTCCTGCTTCAAGCGCCGCGACGACGCGCGCTACAAGGCCCGGGACCGGAGCTTGGTGGCGCCGCGGCTCTGCGCGGCGGCGTGATTAAGACTCAAAGTAAGACTCAAGGCTGCCGCAGCGCAGGCCGTCCTTGCCGCTAAAGTGAAGCCGGCAGACACGGCAGATCGTTCTCGATATGGCTCGGTGCTCGCACGAGGGCACACCGTGCGTGGATGAGCCCGGCGTAAATGAGTGCGCGCGCGTCGAGGGCGTTGAGGCGAACGACCGCGAAGGCCTCATTGAGTGCGCGACGCGAGCGCCGCGCCTGCCCACCGATGTCTGGCTTGGCGTCGCCACCTTCTGCGCCACCGACACGCTGCTGACGCTCGAGACCACGGGGATGGATCTCCTAAAGCTCGTGCGCGCGGACTTCACGGACTCGATCTGGCGCCGGCGCTTCGACATGGCCGCGCCCGCGCTGTCCGCAGTTCTAAAAGGCACCGGCCGTGACCTCTGCCGGCTGTTCGAATCGCGGTGGCGGGCTACTCATTTTGACGAAGGCTCGGTTGGAAGATTAGTAGAGGAAAACCTTCCCAAGGCTCTCCTTGGCGTCAATTGTTGGCACGGCTTGCCCTCGCTCGTCCGTCATCCAACCGTCATTCTCGTCGTCGACGGCGTCGCCGGCAAGCTCAAGTGGGGCGGCGAGGATGCCTACGGCGAGCGCCAAAAGGGACGCCAGCTGATGTGGGTCTTAAAAGAGCCGCGAGGACCCTATTACGAAGAAGAGCTGGCCACTGCGAAGACCTCCTGCTACGTCGTCGGTGACGAGAAGATTGTCGAGCTCTGGCGGGACGGTTCGTGTCATTTCGAGGATGTGTACGAAGACGAATTCGGCAATTCCATCACAGAAGATAACGGTCGTGTGTCTATCTTCGGCTTTGGCGGAGATTTCATCTCTCAACGCCGGTTCGAAGAGTTTGGAACACATCCCCATTACTTCGACGCTTACGTCCGGGCTCCCGGAAGAAAGAAGGAGCGCGTCGATCGGATCAGCCTCGTTTGCCGTCTTCAGTTTGCGCCCGTCGAACCTTGGCGCCACGACCCAAACGAACCTTCATACGAGCTCATGGACGCCAGCGTCGGCTATCGTATTGATGGTTCTGACACCATCCGCGACGCGCGCACGCTCGGATCCCTTTTGGCGTGCCTGCTCTCGCCCGCCCACCGCCTGCGGGGCTTAAACTACTACTGAAGTTCCACGCGTCGGCTTGATCTTGCTTAGTCGTCTGGGCCCTAGACCTTGTAGGTCGACGCGCGGCCGGGCCCGAGCTTCGCGGCCTCGGCGGCCTTCTCGCGCTCCGCGGCCTCCTTGAGCGCCTGCGCGAGCCTGCGGGGCGCGGGAACGTCGCGCGGGGCGCGCGGGGCGCCGCGGGGCGCGCGCGGACGAGGGGAGCGATCAGGTACTTGGATTGTTGATCACATGGCTTGTGTGAGGGGTCTTAATCCTCGATTCGGTAACACGGACCAAGTGGAACATCATCTCGCGACGGGCGAACACCGAAAAAAGAGGACGCGGCGGAACGCGCGCGTCGGAGCCGTCGGAGTCGAGGGTGAGCGTGAGGTGCTCGTAGATGTTCTGCTTGCAGGGGAACAGCTTCGCGGCGGCGTCGAAGGCGGACCGCGCGAGGCACTTGCCGGACTTGACGCAGTCGCCGCCGCGGCAGAGGCGGCCCTTGGTGACGCCCCAGCCGCGCGCGCCCTTGGCGTCGCAGGAGCCCAGGGCCACGTGGTCGCCGACCTCGACGAGGCACGACTCGGACGCGTTGTAGAACTTGTAGAGCGACGTCTCGGGCCGGCCGCGCGAGAAGCGGACACCGACGCCCCAGCGGAGCGTCCGGTCCTCGTCGGAGCACGCGCGGAAGCGGACGCCGTCGTAGCACATGGCGCCGTCGGCGGACTGGAAGAGGAAGCCGCTGTTGGCGACGTTGGACGCCGTGAGCTCGAGGGGCGTGTGGCCGCGCGCGTCGCACCGGAGCACGGAGACGGTGTTCGCGAGCGCGCCCTTGGGCGTGCGCTCGCGGCCCGCGGAGCCGCCCTCGCTCAGGGCCCGCTGGAGGCGCGCGGCCTTGGACCAGATGGACGAGTCGCGGACGACGCAGTCCTTCTGGCCGTTCGTCGTCAGCGCGACGTGCGCGACGGCGTCCTCGTTCGTCGTCGCCGCGAAGCGCCGCGCGTTGCTCTGGAGCATCTCCCACTGCTGGGCCTTGGACACGGAGGAGCAGTCGCCGCCGCCGAGGATCGTCCGGCCGAAGGCCCGCTTCGTCGCGAGGCAGCTCCGCGACGGCACGGGCTCGAGGACCATCGCCAGGCTCCGCCGCGACTTCGCGCCGCGGAAGAGGCGGTCCCAGAACCCCACGGGCCGGCTCAGGTACATGAAGAGCGCGTCGTCGTCGCAGGCGCCGAAGGTGCCCAGCTCCGTCAGGCACGTCTGGTCCGTCGGGTCGATGACCTACGGTGGTTGCGGGTCGGCGAGCGCGGGGGGGGGATCGCGGGGCGGCGCGCGCCTACTTACCCAGTAGGCCTCGGCGTTCCGGATCATGCCGTCGGCCGCGACGCGGCTCAGCACGGCGCTGGCCAGGGCGACGGCCCAGGCGCGCGTCATCGCGTCTTCTGGCGGCGAGCGCCCTCGCACTGCACCTCATGCTTCGAGCGCTTCGCCGGCGAGTCGTTCTTCCGCGGGTCCCGCACGGAGCACGACGAGCTATCGGCGAAGCGGGCGAGCACAATCGCTGCGATGAGCCATCGCATCATCCAGCCGGCCGGGCGGGTGTTGCCGACTCGGAGGCGCCGAGCCGGCGTTGCCGTCTAGCCGCGTCCACGAGGATCGAGTGGCTCGCCGGGGTCTCGAGGCAGCCGGGGGGGGGCGGCGCGGCGCGCCGGCGGCCGATGGCGAATAATGGCGGCCAGTGGACACTCCAGTGGCATTTTGCGATGGCCCCTATACAGCTGTAGGCATGCTGGCGGGCCTTGCGACGCTGCTGCTCGCGCGCGCCGTCGCCGCCGTCGACGATCCGTCCTGGGACGTGCACAGGCCGACGAACGCGACGTGCCTCGGCGGCTGCGCCTGCCCCGCGCGGCTCGCGGCCTGCGCGTGCCCACGGCGCCGTCAAAGGACATGAAGGTCTTCGCGTCGATACGACCATAAACGAATTTTGGCCGCGATTTCACCGCGCGATCGACGCGCGCACGGTCGACGCGCGCGCGGTCGATGCACAGCCTCTATGGACGACTAATGGATCTCGCTGCCAGTGAACCGCCTCCTAGGTGGTTGGGAAATGTTACCATCTCCTATGCGCTAAACGCTCTCTGTAGCGCGAAAATGCCTGACTGCAAGTCAGGTGAAACGTCCCGGCTGGGGGAACGTTGGGGGAACCTCTCTGGCTGCGCCGGGCCGAACTGTATTGTTAATTAATTATTAATTATTCCTATGGGCCGGCCTAGGGTAGGGAGGATTATAGTGTAAAATCCGTGGGCCTCCGGCCCCTGCTGGGGGGCAGCTGCCCCGCCTACTTCAACTTCTTCCGTCCGGGACCTATAGGCCGCGTGTGCTCTTGTGCATGCGGCTTCCCCGACGCTAAATACAAAATAATAATAATAATAATCCTAAGGGTGTTTTCGCGTTCCCTAGAACGATTTTGTTGAAGTTCGATGGAAAATTAATGACAAAAATGTATGAAAAAAATGCATTTCACGTTTTGGGGTCATTATTCTCACGAAAATGGCCTAAATTTGCTCGAAATTGCTTGTTTTTTTGGTCAATTTCTTAGTAAGGTAAACATCGGCTTATTGAAGTATGTTAATTTACTGACAAACTGTACTTTGCGTAATTGTATTTTTGACCAAAATCTTGGTCATTTTGGTAATATTCGCTATTTTTTGCTAATTTAAGGCGAATTTATGTATTTTTTGGCTAATTTAGGAGAAAAATGGTTAAAATTGACCCCTTGAACGCATAATTGTGTTTTCGTGAGCAAGATGCCCTGAGTGGGTGAGTTCACAACTAGAAGTCGCGCCAGAGTGCGTGCTGATTCCTGCCGGATGGAGGAGTCATTGCCCAGAATGAAATCATAGTAATTCTGATGGGAAAGTTAAATCGAATGTGGGAGACGTTATGTTGTCAAGGAACACTGCTCTGCTTTCCAAAAAACAGATGTTGAAGTGTCATTTCCTGTTTTAGTCCTATATGTAGGTTTTTTAAATAATTATCTCCTTGTTTTCTACGACATTTGAGTGCTATTTTCAAGGGAGACACAAAAATCCCTTAAAATATCCATTGACACGAACAAAATGGCGATTTTGGGATGACAGAGAGGCCCAAATTTGGCGATTTTGGGACACACGTGAGAGAAATGGTAACTTTTGGGAATGATAGATTGGGGTGTAAAATGGCAATCCGGAAAAAAATGGTATTTTGGGCTAAAATGTGTGTAATATGGCGATTTTGTCCCTACAAAAGAGACATATGGCTATTCTGGGAGGGTATTAAGATCAAAAATGTGTAAATTTTAGGTGAGAAATTTTGTCATATTTTGCGTCAATTTTAGGTGTGTTGTCTGAAGTTTAACTGGTATTTTTGTAATTCTCGGTTAAAAATGTTGTAAACTTTGTCAGAAAAAATCGGTTGACCCCGGCCTAGATGTACGTTGATCGCTTCACCGCACCTTGGGCCTGCAAAGGCAACGTCTCGGTATCTCGTCTCGGTGCCGTCGGCGTGATCCGCGCCTGTGCCCGGCTCCGAGATGCGCGCTCCTTCCATGCGCGTCTTACTCGCCCTCGCGGCGGTCCCCGCCGCGGCGGTCCCCCGGTCGTCGTGGGTCAAGCGCGCCCGGAAGGCGCGCGCGGGTCCCCGCGCGGCGCCGGACTTTGGGGCGCCGGAGACGACGCGGCCGAACGCGCCGACGGAAGACTACAAAACTTCCGCGCTCGCGGACGCAGCCGACGCGTCCTACACGCTGGGCCGGAGGCTCGGGTTCCTGCGGGACGTGCGCGACGGGCGGTCGCTCCAGGACGTCGACGACGAGGCGTGCCTCGAGGAGTTCGTCGCGTGCGAACAGGACGCGGCCGGGTGCCTCGCGTGCGTGCTGGAGATCATGGAGCACGAGGAGGGCGACGTCGAGGTGCCCGCGGACTTCACGGACTGGGACTGCGACGGCGTCGTGTCCTTCCTCCACACGATCCACGTCTGCGAGGACCTCGAGGCGCGCGACGACGCCGCGCAAAAGGTCTGCGGCGTCTGGGCCGCGTGCGCGACGGAGGTCCTCGACGACGACGCGGCGACGGCCGCGCCGGCGCCGGCGCCCGTCCCCGCCAACTGCTCGGCGACGGCCTGCGAGGTCCCGCACGCCGCGTGGCTCGGCGACGGAGCCTGCGACGCCGATATCTCGCAGTGCTACAACACGGCCGCGTGCGGCTGGGACGGCGGCGACTGCTGCGAGGCCACGTGCCGGGACACGGCGACGCGGACCTGCGGCACGGCGGCGCCCTACGTCTGCAAGGACCCGGACGCGCAGGGCTGCGGGAGCCGCGCGGCCGCGGAGATCGAGCTCGAGGGCGGCGCGGGCGCGTACGACTACGCGCTCTACAGCGTCATCCTCGACGGCTTCGCCGCCGTGAGCTCCGGCTCCTACGCCGGCGAAACGTCGACGACGCCGGCCTGCCTCGCCGACGGCTGCTACGTCATGGAGGTCAAGGCCGACGACACCTACAGCTCGGACCCGCGGTGGGCCGTCAAGAAGAAGGACCCGCAGAGCGGCGCCCTCGTCATCGCGGCGTCGGGCGGCGGGCCGGCGGTCTGCACCTTCCCCGTCGGCGGCGGCGTCGAGGAGTACTGCCCCGCGGGCTGCGTCGACGAGACGGCGGCCAACTGCAACGACGCGGACCAGTACGTCATGGCGATGACGGACGCGGGCTGGAACGGCTGGGGCTTCGTCGGGTACCGCGTCCACAAGCACGACGCCGCGGGCGAGGCCGGCGAGGAGATCCGCGCGGGCACGCTCGCGATGGGCCATTTCGGCGTCGAGCCCATGTGCATCCCGGACCCCGGGTGCTACACGGTGACGCTCGAGTGGGGCTGGTGGTCCGAGGAGGTGTCCTGGGAGCTCGGCAAGCGCGGCGCCGGCGCCGTCGCCGCCGGCGGCGCGCCCGCGCAGTGCGACTTCTCCGTCGGGGTCACGGACGCGGGGCAGCCGTTCTGCCCGTCGACGTGCGCGCCGGCCGACGACGCGACGACGGACGACCACCTCATCACGGGCGGCTGCGACCCCGACGACGCGTCGAAGCTGCCCTACGCGCTGGAGATGTACGACGCCGACGGCGACGGCTGGGGCGGCGTCCGCTACACGATCACGGACGAGGCCGGCGCGGAGACGTCCGGGTCGCTCAACTTCGGCTTCCAGGGCCAGGACGATTTATGTCTGGCGCCGGGCTGCTACGACTTCTCCTTCCCGCCGCGGTCGTCCCAGAGCCGCGCCGCGGGCTGGGCCCTCGGCGACGTCACGGAGGGCGGCGTCGTCTTCTCCGGGTCGTCGTCCGCGTCGTGCGTCTTCGCCGTCGGCGGCGGCGAGTGCCCCAGCGGGCCCCACACGAAGGAGGCCTGCGGCTTCGACGGCGTCGAGACGCCGCCGCCGACGTCCGTCTTCGAGTGCGACGCGTCGCAGGCTCTGGCGGTCATGCGCGTCGTCGATTCCTGGGGCGACGGCTGGAACGGCGCGGACTTCACGATCACGGACGCCGAGGGCGCCATCGTCGGCTCGGACACGCTGCGCGACGGCGCCTACGCCGAGTTCCCCTACTGCGTCGACGGCGGCTGCTACAACGCGGCCGTGTCGTCGGGCGAGTGGCGCGAGGAGGTGTCGTGGCAGCTCGTGGAGCTGCTGCCCGACGGCACGTCCCTCGTGCGCGCCCACGGCGCGGCGCCGGAGCAGTGCGGCTTCGCGCTGGCCGCGGGCAACGGCGAGGCGTCGATCGTCCACTGCGACACGGCCTGCGCGACGCAGCGCGCGGCGTCCGACGACTGGAAGGGCATCGGCGACGACGACTTCTGGAACCCGGGCTGGGACGACGCGGCGTCGGGCTACGCCTACGACTACGGCGACGGCTACGCGCCCAACTGCGAGAACGGCGACGACTGCGGCGTCTTCGACAACTTTGCGGGCTGGGCCGCTGCGTCGGCGATCGTCGACTGCCTCGACCAGACCGTGCCGGACCGCGCGGGCGACGACCCCTTCGTGCCCGAGCTCTGGGCCGACCGGCCCGAGCTCTGCGAGGGCACCTACGACTTTGGCGAGCTCGACGCGTTCGAGGCGTGCGCCAAGGAGCTCGAAGAGGGGGTCGGCGACGTCGACGCGCAGCACGCCAAGGCCAAGGCCTGCATGGCGCTCCTCGTGTCCGCGGCGCCCGACGGGTCCGAGGACCTGGAGTCCGACGACGAGCTCGTGAAGCGCCTGGCGACGATGGTCTACTACGCGGGCGACGTCGGCTTCTGCGACTGCGCCACGAACGAGGAGGCCATCCCGGCCTGCAACGACTTCGCCGACTTCCGCGCCGTCGTCCGCGAGGCCCACGAGGCCTGCGACGCCCTCGACGCCATCGACTGCGCCTACCTCGGCGCCTACGCGGCCGAGTGCGAGACGGGCCTCGTGAACAAGTTCGGCGTCCTCGACCTCGCGTCTCCCGACCAGTGCGCCTACGTCGACGACGACGGCTGCGGCGGCATGGCCATCCCCGCCGTGCGCAAGTGGGACTGCCTCTTCGACGACAACTACGAGCTCACGGCCGCGCAGAAGACGTTCGTCCTCGACGTCGTCACGTACTGCGTCGACGGCGACACCGACGACGGCGCGTCGCCCACGCGGACCGACGACTACGTGCCGCCGGACCACAAGCTCACGGACGACGACGCCCACGCCTCGTCCCACCGCTCCGACGACGACGGCGCCGCGCCGCGCGCGAACCCCGTCGTCGTCGCCTTCTCCGTCATCGGCGTCGCCGCGGTCCTCGCGGCCATCGCCTTCGTCTTCTACAAATACATCTACAAGCAGAGCGACGCGAGGCCAGGCCGCGACGGCAACGCCTACGGCGTCGCCTTCGCGCCCCTCGGCCGCGACGACGACGACAACGCGTACGTCGCGCCGGGCGGCGTCTGAGCTCCCCCTCCCCGAACGCGCCGTCTCGCGCGCTACTACGTGTATACTTACTCTCCCCCCCTTCAGTAGCTGCGGAAGGTATAGGTGTCCGTGCAGTCCGTGAGGTGGTGCATGAACTTGGCAAGGCTCGACTTGTACTTCGGCTCTACTCCAGGCCAACGGCGGAGGAGGAGATCAGCCGCGTGGCCGCTAACGCCGTCCTCGTGGAAGTCCGCGAGGACAAAAATTGTCGATGACTGTATGCGCGCACATCCTCGGAGTGCAACACGCGAGGTCCTCCTCCTTGTCATAATTATCATCATCATCGTAATGCTCATCCTCATCATCCTCATCGTCCTCGTCATCGTCATCGCCGTAGGCAAATTTGACGAGAATTCTCGCGGAGCGCGCGAGATCATTCAAGTGAGCGCTATCCGCCTCGGTCCACTTGGACTCGTCGACGAAGCCCATCAGTTCGTTGCGCGTGCGTTCGTAGAAACGGCGGACGGCCACGTACTGGTCGAACGGCGATCGCGACGCGTAGCTATCGAGCAGGCGCGGGTCGACGTACTTCGCCGGCGCCGGACGCGGGTCGACAATCTGCCCCGATGCAGGGAACTGCGTCTCCATCGCATCGCGGTGCGCGACCCAGAAAACGTCGTTTTGGACGAGTTCCTTCGTGGCACGCGAGCAGGCCGCGAATGCGAACACATTGGCGAGGTGTTTTTTGGTATAGCGGTAGGAATTATCATCAAATTTATCGCACACCTCGGAGCACACCTCGGAGCCCCAGGGCATCCCAAAGCAGCTCAGCACCTTCGTTACAACGTCCGCGCCTCCGAGAGCTGTCGCCCGTGCCTGTGCGCGCGACCCGCTCATTGCTCCTCCGCTTCGCTGTGGCGAATCGACTGTCCCCACCTCCGACTCCCGCGGTTCCTCCCGGGCCCCCTACGTTTAGAGACGCGTCAAGGCGAATCGACTGTTTTGAGCGAGGCCTTGAGCGGCGCCGCCCCGCCGCGGCCGCCGCCGACCGACCGCCGACCACTTCGCCAAGGCACTCGGCGCTGTGGCTGAGGTGAGGACCGTTCGGTGTTTCTCGAGGGCAGTTAGACAAAATCCCCCCTCCCGCGCGCGAGGACCGATCCTCAGAGCTTCGGGTTCGTCCAGGGCGAGTCCGGGTGGTGCTTGAAGTCCACGGGGCCCTTGAGCTCGCCGCGGTCCCAGGTCCCGGAGATGGAGTCGCCGCTCGGCAGCGTGAGCGTGCCCGAGCCGTGCTTGAGGCCGTCGGCGAACTCGCCGACGTAGAGCTTCCCGTCCGCCGCGCACGAGAACTTGCCCTCGCCGTGGCGCAGGTTGTTGCGCCAGGCGCCGACGTACTCGTCGCCCGACGCGTAGGCGAGCGTGCCCTGGCCGTGCGCCGCGTCGCGCTCCCAGCTCCCGCGGTAGCAGTCGCCGTTCGCGTACCGGAGCTCGCCCTCGCCGTCCTTCATGCCGTCCATCCACGAGCCGACGTACTCGTCGCCCGACGCGTAGGTCAGCGTCCCCTGGCCGTGGGCCTTGTCGCCGCGCCAGCAGCCGTCGTAGCGTTCCCCGTCGACGTACTGGAGGAAGCCGACGCCGTCCTTGGCGTCGTCGACGAAGTCGCCGACGTACTTGTTGCCGTTCGCGAAGGTGAAGATGCCCTTGCCGTGCATGCGGTTGTCGTGCCAGTCGCCGGAGTACTCGGAGCCGTCGCTGTAGACGTACTTGCCCGTGCCGTGCATGCGGCCCTGCTCCATCGCGCCGACGTACCTCTCGTGGACGTTGCCGCCGGCGCCCCGGAGCGTCCACTCGCCCTCGCCGTGCCACTTGTCGTCGACCCAGTCGCCCTCGTACTCGTCGCCGTTGTCGTGGTACGAGCAGAGGCCGCGGCCGTGCTTCTTGCCGTCGCGCCACTCGCCTATGAAGGTCGTATGAAAACTTCGCCGTCTCCGTAAGAAAAGTTCGCCGGCAGCTGACCTTCATAAGTGAATTTCGCCGTCTCCAGCTTCCCCCGCCCGTGGATCTTGCCGTTCGTCCAGGAGCCCGTGTAGACGTTGTCGTCGCTGTACTTGGCCGTGCCCTCGCCCTGGATCTTGTCGCGCTCCCAGTCGCCGCTGTAGGTGCCGCCGTCGGCGTACGTGTACGTGCCCCGGCCGTGGCGCTGGCCGTACTGCCACTCGCCCGCGTATCGTTCCCCGTTGCTGTAGACGATGGACCCGCGGCCGTGGAACTTCCCGTCGGACGAGATGGAGCCCTCGTACTGCATGGTGCTCGCGGACTCGCTCGGGTTCGCCGCGAGAGACATGGCGGCGCGGTAGTGGTTGCGGAGGCGCTGCGCGGCGGTCTGGGTTTGGCACTGGCGTGCTTCGCGCGGGGCGGCTGTGCGGGCGGCGTCGACGACAGCTCGCGGCGCGCGCGCCAACAGATCGAGCGCCTCTATTGCCTCAGCTCTGGCGATTTGTCTGCAATCGCCCGTCAAGCAGCCCATGCTGCCCTCTCGAGGCGGCAGCCCAGCGTCGTCGCCGCGTCGCGCACGTCGGCCGGCGCCGCAGCGCCGGCCGCGACCGAGAGCCGGACCGCGGAGACGCGCGCGCTCCCATGGCCAACGACGGCAAGAAGGCGGCGACGGTGCCCGTGTGGCTCGTGCTCGCCGTCGCCCTCGGCGGCGCCTGCCTCTTCCTCATGCCGACGTCGGCGCCCGGCCCGGCGCAGGCGGTGACGGTCTACGAGAAGCCGCCCGTGACCATGGAGAGCCCCAAGGCCCTCGAGAAGCTGCGGGCGAAGCTCGACGCGGAGAAGGCCGCGGAGAAGGACGCGGCGTCGCTCCCGAAGCCCGTCGTCAGCGATCGGAAGCGAAAGATCCTCGACCAGGAGAAGGCGCAGCAGGCGAAGATGGCCAAGGCCCTCGAGAAGAGCGCGCCCAAGGAGGACAAGCCGAAGCCGGCGCCGAAGCTGCCGCCCGTCAAGGTGAAGAAGCTCAAGCCGTCCGACGACCCGTGGGCGTCGGCGCTCAAGCCCATGTGGGGCCTCGAGCACAACCCGAGCGCGGACGTCGTCATGGCCCTGGGCTTCGGCTACTCGCAGAAGGAGTTCGCGCGCTTCGTGTCGACGCTCCGCGCGACGGACTACGCCGGCGACATCGTGCTCGCCGCGGGCCCGCCGGAGAAGTTCCAGCGGGGCGTCGAGGACTACCTGCGCGGCGAGGGCGTCCTCGCGTACCAGTTCACCTACGAGTGCGTCAAGAAGAAGCGTCGACGGCTGCTCATGACGCCCGCGGGCTGCACGCTGACGAACTGGTACGCCAAGGGCGACCAGCGCGGCCCGCGGCCGCTCGCGGTCAGCCGCTACGAGATGTACCGGACGTGGCTGAGCTTCTACGAGGACACGTCCTGGGGCATCATCTTCGACTTCCGGGACACCTTCTTCCAGCGGGACCCCTTCACCATCGTCGACAAGTCGCCGTCGGCGCCGAACCTGCACCTCTTCGCGGAGAACCGGCAGGTGAAGACCGTCGGCAACTGCATCTTCAACTCCGGCTGGCTCCGCTGCTGGGGCAAGGAGACGCCCAAGAAGTACTCGAACAACAGCGTCGTCTGCTCCGGGTCCACCATGGGCTCCGCGCCGGCGCTCCGCCAGTACACGGAGCGCATGGTCGCGGAGATGGACAAGATGAAGTGCCACGCGACGCCCGCGCGCACGGAGTCGGACCAGGGCTACCACAACTACCTCTACGACAGCGGCGAGCTCGCGCGGCTGCCGGGCGTCAAGGTGACGCACCACGAGCAGGGCCACGGCATCGTGAACACGATCGGCGCGATGAACGGCTTCCGCGTGCCCGCGCACATGAAGGGGCCCCTGGACACGCACTGGAAGATCAAGGACAAGGACGGCTACATCCTGGACTACGACGGCCAGAAGTCCGCCGTCGTCCACCAGTGGGACCGCTTCCACAAGGAGTGCGTCAACCACATCGACCGCCTCGCCAACGCCTACATGCGCGACAAGAAGGCGAAGCTCGCGTCCGCCTAGCGAGCGTTCCTCCCCGGCGCGCGCGCCGTTACGAGTCGCGCAACTTCGCTTCAGAAGGGCGTCTGCGGGCGGGACTCCTTCCAGCCCTTGACCGCGTCGAGCGCGGAGACCGCGTCGATCGCGGCCTGGATCTTCGGCGGCGTCGCGGCCTTGGCGCCCTCGACGTTGTCGAAGAACTCCGTCAGGAAGACCATGAAGACGACGTCCGCGCGGCTCGGCTTGCAGCCGACGAGCCAGGGGCCCTTCGCGTCGCCGAGGCTCTTCTCGACTTTGGCGAGCTCCCCGGGGAGCGTCTCCCCAAAGTACTTGGCCTTGGCCTCGTCGCCGTCGCCCTTGACCTTCTGGTACGTGGCCTTGATGTCGACGACGTGCTCGCAGAGGCAGTCGATCTTGAAGGCCTCGATGGCGCTCGCGCCCGCGAAGCCGTACTTGGAGGCGACGTAGCGCGCTATGGCCTTGGACTGGCCGACCTTCACGCCGTCCACCTCGAGGATGGGCACCTTGCCGATGCCCGCGTCGAGCTCGCCGGCCTCCTTGGCCGCGTCGAACCTGCGGCGCGGGTGGCGTTCCGGCGAGGCGCCCCGAGCTCCGGGACTCGCTGCCCCTGCCCAAGGCGGTTCGAGGCGTTCCGGCGAGCATGCCCCAAACGCACAGTTCCAGCCACGGCACGACGGACGCGCTGCCCCCGCGGAGAGATGGGACGCGGCCGACGCGCTCCGGGCGCTTGATCGTGCTAAAGTCGCCGGGCACGCCGAAGGAAAAGGAGAAGCGCTTGTCCTCGTAGGGCACCTTGGCCATGGCGAGCATGTAGCGGATGTCCTCGGCGACGCCGCGCCTACCAAAGATGACGACGTTTCGTCGTGTTTCCCGGTCGAAATCTCACGAAACTCGTCACGGCCGCGGGACGCCGCGCCGCGCGCGTCGAAGTAGTGGAGCTTGATGTCCGACTTCATGAATCCGAAGAACGACATGGCGGAGGTGGCGGCGACGACGGCGGTGGTCGGATTCTAGAATCGGCGGGAAGGCCGACGGCCAGGTGGCTGGATAGCTGCCCCGAAATGCAGCGCAAACTTTTTTATCGGGCGGGCGGCGCGCCGGCGCGCCGCCGCTGGACGTAGCCGACGGCGGCGCCCCAGTCGCCGCGGCAGGCGACCTTGTAGAGGAGGTCGAAGCGGGCGTCGGAGGCCGGGAGGGGCTTGTCGAGGGTGACGACGCGGGCCCCCGGCCGGAGCCGCGCCGCGTGGTCCGCGATGCGCCGCATCTGCGCGGCCTCGAAGCACGTGCTCGTCGCGACGACGACGTCGGCGCCGACCCAGGCGCTCGCGTCGGGCTCGTCCGTGAAGCTGCCGTGGCGCAGGTCCACGGCCGGCGCCGCCGCGCCGAGCACCGGCCCCAGGCGCGCGAGCGTGCGCCGCGCGGTCTCCGCGTAGCCGTCGAGGAGCTCGACGCCGACGACGCGGCCGAGGCGCACGAGCGCCGCCGCCGTCACGAGGAGCCGCCCGGCGCCGCAGCCGAGGTCCGCGAAGGTCTCGCCGCGCCGCAGCTCGCAGGCGCCGAGGAGCCGCGCGAGCGACGCCGCGCGCAACTCCCCGTAGACGAAGTTCGCGTACTTCGGCCGCCGGTCCGCCGGCATGGCGAAGAGCTTGCCGCGCCGCGCCGGCCGCGCCGTGCGGCCCCGCGCGTCCGCCTCCAGCGCCGCGCCGGCCGCGGCGGCGGCCTCGCAGGCGTCGAGCGCGGCGAGGGCGCCGGCGACGGCCCCGGCGGACCAGAGAGCATGGGCCTCGACGCGGTCGCGCCAGGCCCGGCAGGCCTGCGCGGCGCGGAGGACGCCCGGCGTGCCCAGGTAGGCGGCGACGTGCTGCCAAGTGGCGTCGAGGGCCTCGGCGCCGGGGGCTGCCGTCGCCATCGTCGCGCGCGGGCGGCAAGTAAAAGGCTCGTGTGGCCTCAATATCTCTCTCAGCGACGGATACCCCGGCCAATCCGCAGAGCCCGGCTCAAAATCTCGCGCCCACACAGACGCTCTCCGTGTTATCGTCAAACTTCACGCGCGCCACGCGCGCCCCCGAGCGACCCCGAGCCCCTCTGACGCCCGGGCTTGCCTCGCCCGCCGTCCCCGACCGCCTCGAAACCCGTCGCACGGTTTTTCGGCCCCGGCGACGAAAAAGCCAGCTTCTTCAAGGAGCCCGCTTCGGCCGCCGAAGCCCCGCTTCGGACCGAAGCGAGGAGCACGATGACGGACCCCTTTGACCGCGAAGTGATCGCCGCGCTCATGGAGTTGCCGCAGAGCCCCCCGGCGTCGCCGGCCAAGGCGTTGAAGGCGGGCAAGCTCGGCCAAGCGTCCCCGCGCCGGACGCCCGGCTCGTCTCGCGCGCACGACTCGCCCTTCTCGTCGATGGCCGCGCGCGTGCACCGGGCCAACCCGTCGGCGTGCGCCTCCAGCGTCCCACCATTTTCGCCCCGCGCGCGCGCGAAACGGCCCGCGCGCGCCCAAGGGGACTTTCCGCCGCGTATCCGACGCGCCCGCGCCTCAGGCCCCGCTCGCCCTTCTTCGACGGCGCCTTCTCGCCCCTGACGGGCTTCCACGAGGGCGACGCGAGCCGCCTCGGCAGCCTGAGCGCCCTGCGCCGCGCGGACCGCATCGACGCCGAGGCGGGCCGCGGCGCGCCGCTGCTGCCGCGCATGCCCGGCGTCGGCGACGCGGACGAGGGCGGCCCGCCGCGCAAGGGCGCGTCGGCGGCGCCGCGCACGCCCGAGCGGCGGCCGTCGCCGCGGCCCGGCGACGGCGCCGCGGCGTCGCGCGTCGCGCCCGACAGCGGCATCGACGCGCTCGGCCGCCGGTCGCCCGACGTCGCGCGGGGCTACGCCGAGTCCTGCGGCAGCGCCGACTCGAGCCCCGGCGAGCCCGCGCCGCGGCGCTGGATCTCCGTCAAGATCACGCCGAGCTCCGTCGAGCTCCGCCGCGCCATCGCGCGCGTGAACCGCGCGATGGGCGGCGGCCGCGGCGGCGGGCCCGACAGCGACGGCGACGGCGACGCGCCGCCCCGGGGCCTCGCGCGCGGCGGCCGCGCGGCGGCGCCGCGCTGCGGCACGCCCGAGCGGCGGCCCCTCGACGACTCGAAGCTCCTGAGCCTCCAGGACGCCGCGGCGGTCCACGACTACCCGGCGTCGCCGCCGCTCGGCACGGACGACGTCGGCATCTCGCTCCTCGGCCGCCTCGGGTCCCCGCGGCGCCTCCTGAGCGCGAGCTCGCCCCTCGCGCTCCTCGACTCGCCGCGGGGCGCCCAGGACGACCTCCTGCTCCTCCTCGACCACCCGGGCTCGGAGCCCGCGCCGACGAACGTCCAGTTCAAGGTCACGAGCCGCCGGCGCCCGCCCTTCTCCGACGGGTCCGCGGCGCCGCGGCGCCCGCCGGCGGCCGCCCGCAAGCCCCCGGCGCCAAAGTCCCGGAGCAAGCCCAAGAAGGACGGCGCCGCGCCGCGGAGCCGCAAGCCGACGAAGCGGTCCAAGGCCGACGAGCCGGCGGCGTCCGCGCCGCCCGCGGACGACGACCGGTCGTCCGCGTCGTCGCTCTCCGGCGAGCCGCCGGCGAAGCGGAGCCGCACGAGCAAGACGTCCCAGGGCCTGCGCGGCGCGGCCGCGCCGCCCGCGCGCGGCGGCCGCCGCGGCGGCGCGGCGACGCCGACGACGGAGGTCGACGACGACGACGGCGGCGACCGGCCGACGGCGGCCAAGGCGTCGGCGACGAAGCGCTTCAAGCCCTGCAACTGCCGCAACTCGCGGTGCCTCAAGCTCTACTGCGACTGCTTCGCCGCGGGCCGCTTCTGCGAGGAGTCGTGCAAGTGCGTCGACTGCCACAACGACCAGGCGCACGCGCGCGACCGCGACGACGCGATCAAGGCGACGCTCGAGAAGAACCCCAAGGCCTTCCGCGCCAAGGTCAACGCCAAGGCGAAGACGCACCAGAACGGCTGCCACTGCAAGAAGTCCAAGTGCCTCAAGAAGTACTGCGAGTGCTTCGAGGCGGGCATCACGTGCGGCGCCAAGTGCAAGTGCGCGGACTGCGAGAACTACCCGGGCTCGCTCCAGCTCGCGGCGCGCCGCGACAAGCTCCGGTCCGCCGCGACGCGCTCCGCGAGCCGCCTGCCATCGGCCGCGGGCGCCGCGGCCAAGCCCAAGGCCGGCGGGCCCCGGCCCAAGAGCCCGGGCGCGATGACGACGCGCGGCTCGTCCGCGGCGTCGAGCGGCTCCTGCGCGACGCTCCCCAGCGGCGACGAGGCCGACGGCCCCGACGACTCGACGGCGTCCGCCGCCTTCCTCGACCTCCTCCGCTCCGCGGCGACGGAGGCGTCCAAGGACGACGACGCCGCCGCGCTCCCGGCGCTCAAGCGGCCGCGCGCCGACGACGACGCGGCCCTCGAGTCGCCCCGCGACAAGGTCGTCCTCGTGACGCCCGTCGACGGCGCGCCGAACCCGCAGCAGCTCTTCGTCGAGGCCGCCTAGAACGGCGGCCGGATCCGAGCCGCCCGCGCGAGCCGCCCGCGCGCCCTCCACAAGTCCCGAGGGCCCCCTAAGGCTACGACGCGTCTCCTTGGTTTTTGTGGTTGGGTTTTTGTCTTCGGTGGGGGGTAGGCGGTGGCGGGTCGGCGGCGGGGGCTGTGGGCGGGCCTCCGGAGTCCGGGGGACTTTGCTTCTCGACCCCCGGCCATTTATCTGGCCAGGGGGCTTACATCGGGCTGGCTCGCTCCGACAGCGAGACCTTCGCCCATCTCGCTCATTAAGGTGATACGCTGCGCCGCGCCGCCGCCGCCCTCCGATCGATGTCAGCCCAGCGCACACCCGAGTAGTCGCCGACGACGCCGCGCCGACGAGCAGCGACGAAATTTGCGCCGCGCGACGAGCCGCGACGCCGGCCCAGCTCGGCCGCGCGCTCCTCCGGGAGGCGCGCCGGGAGCCCGGGACGCCGTCGCGGGGCGGCGCGCACGCATCACACGTCCGCGGCTCGTCTCCGCGGCGCCGCTGGCGGCTCGACGGTCAAGCGGGGCGGCCCCCTCCCCCGCCGCCGCGCGCTCTCGCCGTTCGCGCCCGCTCCGCGCCGCCGTCGCGCGGCGCGCTCACCCGCTCCCCCCCCCCGCCGCAGACTCACTCGCGCTTGCCACGATGGATACCGCTCCCATCAAGCTCGCGAAGATCAACCGCGTGTTGGGCCGCACGGGCAACACGGGTAACGTGACCCAGGTGCGCGTCGAGTTCATCGACGACCCGAACCGCTCCATCATCCGCAACGTCAAGGGCCCCGTGCGCGAGGGCGACATCCTCTGCCTGCTCGAGTGGGAGCGCGAGGCCCGGCGACTCCGGTAAGCGTCCCGCCGCGGACGCGCCCCACCTTACCCGACGACCGACGCGGCGCCCCCGGCGCCGCGGCGGGAGTCTCCGCTTCGTTCCCCGCGAGGAGCGCCGCGTGGCGACGCGACGCTCGAATGTAAAACATCCCATTCACATCACCCTTCTGGTGTCGTTGGGTCGTGAAGGAGCCCCGCCGCGGGGTTGCCTTCCGTGACGAGCTCCGAGCTCCGTGCTCGCGATCGCTTCGTGTTTCGGTCGCCCGGCGCGTCGGGGACGCGCGGGGCCGGCGGCGGGCGGGAGCTTCGAGGGAGGGGCTCGCTGCTCCGCGACACGCTGGCCCCGGGAAAAAATGCGAGCGGAGGGAATATGTATGAAAATCGAACATCTTTTCATTGAAGTTCCAAACGGCCGTCCGCCGGGAACTTGTCCCACGATGGCCTCCTACCCGGCAATTGCCTCGTGCATTGCCCAAAGCAAACGCAACCACACCGCCATTCCACCGCAAGGTTCGACACTCGGACCACCCCGCAAGCTCGCCTCGCACGAGCACCCCACCCACCACCACCACAACACCACCACCACCGCACGCACCAGACCATGACCCGCCTCCAGCAGATCCTCTTCGCCGCGCTGCTCTGCGCCACCGCCGCGCGCCCGACCGAGCGCCGCCGCCTCGGCGCGGACCTCGACCTCGTCAAGCTCGCCAAGGCCGCGGGCGACGGCGAGCTCGGCTCCCGGGTCCTCTTCAAGGTCGACGGCGAGCACGCGCTCGCCAAGTCCGGCGACCGCGAGGCGCTGGCCAAGCGCGTCGCCGCGGACCTCGACTGCGACGAGCACGAGCCCGTGCGCGTCTTCCGCCCCGCGGGCAAGCACGAGGCGAAGCACGTCGCCGCCGGCCTCCACGACTGGTACGCGGTGCGCTGCAGCCGCGCGCCGGAAAAGGCCGCGGCCGCGAAGAAGACCTTCGACGCGCTGACCAAGTTCCTCGACGAGGCGGACCACGACGGCGTCGTCGTCGTCGAGCCCGAGCTCGAGCACGCCCTCTCCTGGACGCCCGACGACCCCCTCCTCGGCACGCAGCCGCATTACGACGCGATTCGCATGCCCGAGGCCTGGGACGTCGTCCGGGGCGACGCGTCCATCGTCGTCCAGGTCCTCGACACGGGCATCGACATGGCCCACCCGGACCTCCAGCTGAACATCTGGCGCAACGAGGGCGAGATCTGCGGCAACGGCGTCGACGACGACGGCAACGGCTACGTCGACGACTGCCACGGCTACAACCACGCCGACGACGAGGGCGCGAACCTCCTCGGCGACCACTGGCACGGCACGCACTGCGGCGGCACCATCGCCGCCGACAGCAACAACGGCGTCGGCGTCGCGGGCGTCGCCGGCGGCGACGGCGCCGCGGACTCGGGCGTCAAGCTCATGATCTCCGTGGGCTTCGGCAACAACGGCAACATCGGCGGCTTCGCCGAGGCGCTGACCTACGGCGCGGACATGGGCGCCCAGATTAGCTCCAACTCCTGGGGCTACACGGCGCCGGGCTTCTGGAGCCAGGCCGAGCTCGACGCCATCGACTACTACAACGCGCAAAACGGCATCGTCGTCTTCGCCGCGGGCAACAGCAACTCGGCCGAGGACTACTATCCCGGCTTCTACGAGGGCGCCGTCGCCGTCGCCGCCGTCGACGACTCCGGCGTCCGCGCGTCGTTCTCCAACTACGGCGACTGGATCGAGATCTCCGCGCCGGGCGTGAGCGTCTACTCGACGTACACGCACGGCATGGACTACGGCTACGCGAGCGGCACGTCCATGGCCTGCCCCCACGTCGCCGGCGTCCTGGCGCTCGGCTGGTCCATCGACGCGGCCATCCCCCGCGACGCCTTGCTCTCCTGCGCGTACGACACGTCGATCGACATCGCGGACTCGAACACGGGCTACCCGGGCCAGCTCGGCTCCGGCATGATCGACGCCAAGGCCTTCGTCGACTGCGCGGCGGACCTCGCCAACACGAAGCCGCCGACGGCCACGCGCGCGCCGACGGCCGCGCCGACGGCCGCGCCGTCGCCCGCGCCGACGGCCACCGCTCGGCCGACGGCCGGCTGCGGGCCCTGCGACGGCGTCCTCGAGCTCGCCCTCGTCACGGACTCGTACCCCGCGGAGACGTCCTGGAGCCTGGCGCTCGACGCGTCCGCGCCGGACAACTGCGAAGACGCGTCCGCGACGTCGGGCGGCTACGCGGACGCGAACTTCGACTACGGGGCCGTCGTCATCGCGACGCAGATCTGCCCGGGCCAGGCCTACACCTTCGAGCTCGCCGACTCCTTCGGGGACGGCATCTGCTGCGGCTACGGCGCGGGGTCGTTCTCGCTGAGCCTCGACGGCGTCGTCCTCGCGTCCGGCGGCGACTTCGGCGCGTCCTTCTCCCTCGACTTCGTCGCGCCCGAGGCGGACGACGACGACGACGACGACGACGACGACGACGACGCGGCCGCGCCGTCGGCCGCGCCGACGTCCGCGCCGGCCCCGGCGCCGACGGCCGCGCCGTCGTCGCCGCCCACGTCCCACCCGTCCCCGGAGCCGACGACGGCCGCGCCGTCGTCCCTGCCGACGCCCGCGCCGTCGTCCCTGCCCGCGCCGTCGCCGACGGCCGCGCCCGCGCCGTCGCCGACGGCGCTACCCGTCGCGGCGCCCACGGCGGACGACCCCTACGCGCCGACGACCCGGCCCGCGCCCGCGCCCACGCCGCGGCCAACGGTGCCCGCGCCGTCGCAAGCGCCGACGACCCGGCCCGCGCCCGCGCCCACGCCGCGGCCGACGGTGCCCGCGCCGTCGCTAGCGCCCGTGCCCGCGCCGTCGAACGCGCCGACGCCGCGCCCGACGCCCCGCCCCACGCCCCGGCCGACGCCCCGCCCTACGCCGGAGCCGACGCCCCAGCCGACGCCCCAGCCGACGCCCCAGCCGACGCCCCAGCCCACGCCCCGGCCGACGCCCGCGCCGTCGCCCGAGCCCACGCCCGCGCCGTCCAAGGAGCCGACGCGCGCGCCGCACCCCGCGCCGACGGCCAAGCCCACGGCGCTGCCCACGACGCCGAAGCCGTCCCTCGCGCCCGTCGCCGCGCCCACGGCCGACGAGGGCACGTGCGTCGACGACGCGTCGTGGCGCCACTACTCGCGCGGCCGCGAGCGCGACAACCGCGACTGCGCGTGGCTCGACGGCCGCGACTCGAAGAGCCGCTGCGACCGCTACAAGGACGGGGCCGGCGTCCGCGCGCGCGACGCGTGCTGCGCCTGCGACCAGTACTACGCGCCCGCGCCGACGCCCGCGCCGACGCCGCTCGGCTTCTGCGCCGACGACGACGACTGGCGCTTGGCGAAGAAGGGCAAGACGAAGAAGAACAGGGGCTGTGAATGGATCGCGAACAAGGGCGCGTCGAAGAGCCGCTGCAAGTCCAAGGACATCGACGGCGTCCGCGCGTCCGCAGCGTGCGGCTGCGTGTGCTCCGAGTTCAACTGATGTGGGCGGGGTGTTCTGTCTTCCCCCCCTGTTTCTTGTGATAAGAACGATGATGATCCCCTTTTTGTTTTGGGGGGTGCTCCCCTGAGAGTTTGGGGGGTGCTCTCCTGAGAGGCCACGTCCCTCACCTCTCTTGCCGAGGCTTTGCCTCGTGTCACGGTGGTGCCCCCGCTCGCGACGGCGCGAGCATGAGCCGCGCTGGTATACTGCCTACACTCGCCAGCGCGCTATCGAATGTTTCCGCTCGGCGAAGTGGTGTGAGGGCCCTGACGTGAACACGAGCTAGCCCGCCTCGACGCGGCTGTTCCGGTGTGTTTCGACGATTTCCACTCAAAGAGCCCCGGCGAGAGGGGGGTTGGCAGCATGGGGGGGTCGTCGGTGCTCGACAGCGGCGACGAACTGTAGGTGCGAAATCGCAGCAGCCCGAGGGCACCCCACGGACACTCCAAACCCAAAGTCTCGTACCGGGGCTCCTCGATCCGGCTGCGCGCGGCTGGGACGCCCTTTTGGCGATTTTGCCACTACGCGCGGTTCTGGGCGGCGTGCGCCGCGCGCGGCGGTGGCCGTCGCTCGCCGCGCTGGCCGGCCCGAGCCGACCGCACGGACCCTACGGGCGGCCCGAGGCGCCGTGGGCGAGCAACAACCGCGCCAGCGCGGCTGGGCACGCCGTGGCGGCGCCTCGGTGCCCTCGGGGCCGGAAGCGCGCGCGGGTAGGTCCTCACAGTCGGGGTTCGGCCCCAGACGCCGCGCTGACGGTACGCGGGGCCGGCCGGCGATGCTAGGGCCGGGATTGGGGGGTAGTTGGGTCCGCGGAGCACGATGGCGCCGCGCGGTCGTCCTTTTAGCGCACGCCTAGAGGCCCTCCACCTGCTTTCCAGCCGTCTACGGCTGATATCGTCCCCGCAGCGTCGCGGATGACTCCAACTACCCCCCAGGCGCCCAGCCCCAGCCCCGGGCGAAAAACGCCCCAGAGAGAGTACGTACGTTCACGCCGATCCTCGACTGCGAGTCCATGTTGAAGGTATGTTGCAGTACTCAACGGGCCTTTGGGGCGTCCTCAGCGCCGCGCGGGCGTGCGTGCGCGGCCCTACAGGCCCCCGCGCCGGTCCCGCCCGCGGCGCATAGACCCGGCGGAGTCGCACACCCGTTGAGACCGCTCAAAACGACGCCATCGTCGCGCCGCACGCTCATGAGCTGGGGCCTCCATGAGCTGCTATCCGAGCACACGAAATCGGGGCATTTCAGAAACGCTGCTCCTGGCTCGTTTGGGCCTTGCGCGCGGTCTTATTGACGGTGTAAGACGTTCCGCGTGCTTGGTTCGATGCGTGCGGGCCAAAAACGTGACTGTGCGAGCGGCCGAAGTTCGGCACCGACAGCATTTCCGACGCACTTCACCGCGGGCATCTGGAGCGGTAGACCATCGAGCCGCCGGTCGTATCCCTCCGGTCGGTCATGCAGTCGGTCTGGAAGCGTCGCACGACCTCGGAAAGCGTGTTGGAGTCGTGGATCGCGGACCACAGATTCGATGTCTTTTCAAACGATCACTGCTGCTATGGTTCTCGTCACCAACGTCCACGGCGTCGAGTCCGAGGACGCCATCTTCGTCGTACGGGATCCACTAGGTCTCCAGCGGCGAATCTCCAGCGAATTCGACATTTTCGACCCGTTCGCGAATCGGGTGCGCGCACGCGTACTGCCCCCTCTTGGGCGGACCACCCACCTCGTAATTCGCACTTCTAGCGGGCGCGCCTCGGCCGAGAGTCGACGATAGTACCTCGGAGTCCCGTGGGACGACGAAACGCCGCTCAGGCTCGGATTATTGCAGCAGCTTGGACGCGTCTCGGCGCGGGCGCGGGTACTCACGAGCCTTAAAATCGCGAGTTCGTCCCTAGAACGACGCCGATTTGTACAGCGGTTGTTTGTATCGTTTCCCAGCGCGGGGGACTTCCTCTGAGCTGATTTCGCACTTCAGGACCGCGGCCAGCGCCGAGGGGCGCCCCCGGCCGATGCTGCCAACAGTGCACCGATCAAAACTCAGATTCTGATAGCCTGGATTTAAAAGTCAACATTTTTGTTGAACTTCAGCACTTTTGTTGAAGTTAAATCTTGCGATTTCGCGACCCGAACCAGCGACCGCGCGCAAAAAGCCATCGCAAACGTGCAATTAACGCGCGAATATCATCAAACTTGCTTTGATACGACCATAACCCAATTTTGGCCGTGATTTCAGCCCGCGGACCGCCGCGACACCGCGCCCGCGCGCGCGGTCGACGTACAGCCTCTATGGACGACTAATGACTCTGGCTCCGCCGGCCGGAATTCGATGATTGATCTTTATTAATTAATTTCCTATGGGTGCACCTAGATGTACGTTGATCGGGGCACTGGCTGCCAACCCCCCCATCCCGGCGAGGAGCCCTGTTCCAGGCAGTCTCCTGAGCACGGGAGTCCTTGTGGGCATGCAGCGTCATAATCACGCGGTCGCCCTCGCCCGCCTCGGGGATGATGCCGGTTCTCGCCCGTCGCATACGCTCGACGAGAGCCACCACTAACATCGGAGAAAAAAACCGCGAGAACTGAGCCCGGAACCGCCGAGAACCGCCCGACCTCGCCCCGAAGAACCCTCGGCACGTTCGAGGGCCCGAAACTCCCGCGGGCGCCTCTTCCCGGTCCCCCCCGCGCCGCCCCGGGCGCGCGGGGGGCTCGGTCACGGGCTGCTCGAGGAACGGGCCGCTCCGGGCGCGCGAGGACCGGGCCGAACTTCCTCGACCGAAATCGGCCCGACTTGAAGCCTGAGAAAGAACACCGGGCGCTCGATGCCCCGGTCCCCCCGGGCGCCCCCGGAATCGACTCGCCCGAACCGGACGACCCGAATCACCCCCCAACCTTCACAGGTCGAGCTCTACCTCGACGCCCACAAGCCGGGGCTTCCCGGCATCAAAGCAACCGACCCGCTCCGCGGGTCTTCAGCAAGAGCCCGCTTCCACGCGGTGCTGTGATACCGGGAGGTTCCCAAAAGCAACAACAACCAGATGCGCGCCGTCGCGTACGCGCTCGTCGCGGCCGTCGCGGCCGCGCGCCTCGGCGCGCCGCCGCGGCGGCGCCTCGAGGACTCGCTCGACATGGAGAAGCTCTCCGAGGACGCCGCCGTCGGCGCGCTCGGGTCGCACGTGCTCTTCAAGCTCGACGGCGACGACGCGCTCGTGAAGCGCGGCGACGCCGCGGCGGTCACGGCCAAGGTCGTCGACGCGCTCGGCTGCGACGGCGAGGCCACGCGCGTCTTCCGCCACGCGGGCAAGCACGAGGCGGCCCACGCCGCCTTCGGCCTCGACCTCTGGTACGAGGTCGCGTGCGAGGCCGAGGGCCCCGTCGAGGGCGACCCGTCCGAGCAATGCGAGGACTCGCCGTCGTGGTACCAGGGCACGAAGAAGTCGAAGACCTGCGCCTGGGTCGCCGAGAAACCCGCGAGCCGCTGCAAGGACACCGTCCAGTCCAAGGACGGCGTCGCGGCCGGCGTCGCCTGCCCCGTGGCGTGCGACGCCTGCCCGGCGGACGGCGACGACTCCGCCGCCGACGAGTCGCGGTCCCAGCCGGTGGACGGGCCGGTGAACAAGTGCGCGGACTCGCCGTCGTGGTACCAGGGCACGAAGAACTCGAAGACCTGCGCCTGGGTCGGCAAGTCGCCCGCGAAGCGCTGCAAGGACACCGTCAAGTCCAGCGACGGCGTCACGGCCAGCGTCGCCTGCCCCGAGGCCTGCGACGCCTGCCCGGCGGACGTCGGCGACGCGCCGAAGCCCGCGCCGAAGCCCACGCCGAAGCCCACGCCGGCGCCGGCGGACGAGCCGTCGTGCGCGGACTCGCCGTCGTGGTACCAGGGCACGAAGAAGTCGAAGACCTGCGCCTGGGTCGCCGAGAAACCCGCGAGCCGCTGCAAGGACACCATCAAGTCCAGCGACGGCGTCACGGCCAGCGATGCCTGCCCCGAGGCCTGCGACGCCTGCCCGGCGGACGTCGGCGACGCGCCGAAGCCCACGCCGAAGCCCACGCCGAAGCCCGCGCCGAAGCCCACGCCGAAGCCCACGCCGGCGCCGGAGGACGAGCCGTCGTGCGCGGACTCGCCGTCGTGGTACCAGGGCACGAAGAAGTCGAAGACCTGCGCCTGGGTCGCCGAGAAACCCAAGAGCCGCTGCAAGGACACCATCAAGTCCAGGGACGGCGTCACGGCCAGCGTCGCCTGCCCCGAGGCCTGCGACGCCTGCCCGGCGGACGTCGGCGACGCGGCGCCGTGCGAGGACTCGCCGACGTGGTACCAGGGCAAGAAGACGACCCGCACCTGCGCGTGGGTGGCCAAGAAGCCCGAGAAGTACTGCGCCTTCGAGTCCCGCGCCAAGGTCCCCGCGAGCGCCGCGTGCCCGGTCGCGTGCGACAGCTGCCCGGGCCGGCCCGGCCGCCGCCTCGCGGCGGCGCGCCAGTACAAGGCCGTGGCGGACTCGCAGAGCGTCTACGACGCCCTCCGCCGCTTCCTCGACAGCGACGCGCACGACGGCGTCGTCATCGTAGAGCCCGAGCTCGACTACGCGACGTCCTTCACGCCCGACGACCCGGGCCTCAACACGCAGTCGCACTACGACGCCATCAACCTCCGCGAAGCCTGGGACCTCACGACGGGCGACCCCAACGTCGTCGTCCAGGTCCTCGACACGGGCATCGAGCTCGACCACCCGGACCTCCAGCTGAACATCTGGACGAACCCGGGCGAGATCTGCGGCAACGGCGTCGACGACGACTTCAACGGCTACGTCGACGACTGCCACGGCTACAACCACGCCGACGACACGGGCACGGACCTCATCGGCGACCACTGGCACGGCACGCACTGCGGCGGCACCATCGCCGCCGACAGCAACAACGGCGTCGGCGTCGCGGGCGTCGCCGGCGGCGACGGCTCCGCCAACTCGGGCGCCAAGCTCATGGTCTCCGTCGGCTTCGGCAAGACGCGCAACGGCGGCTTCGCCGAGGCGCTCCTCTACGGCGCGGACAACGGCGCGCAGATCTCGTCCAACTCCTGGGGCTACACGAACCCGGGCGCCTACTCGCAGTCCGTGCTCAACGCCATCGACTACTACAACGCGAAGAGCGGCATCGTCGTCTTCGCCGCGGGCAACAGCAACTCGGAGAGCGCGTACTACCCGGGCTACTACGAGGGCGCCGTGGCCGTCGCGGCCGTCAAGAACTCGGGCGTCCGCGCGGACTTCTCCAACTACGGCGACTGGATCGAGATCGCCGCGCCGGGCGTCAGCGTCTACTCGACTCTGACGGGGTCGACCTACGGCTACGCGTCGGGCACGTCCATGGCCGCGCCGCACGTCGCGGGCATGCTCGCGCTCGGCATGGCCGTCGACATCACGTTCCCGCGCGACGGCCTGCTGTCCTGCGCGTACGACACGGCGATGCCGATCGACGACCTCAACCCCGACTACGAGGAGAAGCTCGGTGAGAAGCGGTGTGTTGAGATTTTTTTGGGGGGTGGAGAAACTTGTTTATCGTCACTCTTCGTAGGCATCGGCATGACCGACGCGGACAAGTTCGTCCAGTGCGTCATGAACGGCGGGGCGGCCGAGCCCCCGACGCCTCGCCCGACGCGGAATCCGACGCCTCGTCCTACGCGTCAGCCGACGCCCGCGCCGACGCGCAATCCCACGCCGGCTCCCACCAATCGGCCCACGGATCGCCCTACGCGGAACCCGACGCCCAAGCCTACGCCGCGCCCGACGGCCAAGCCCTCCGAGGCGCCGACGCCCAAGCCCTCCGAGGCGCCGACGCCCGCGCCGTCGCCCGCGCCGTCGCCCGCGCCGACGGAGCGTCCTACCCAGCGTCCTACACCGCGGCCCACGCCGCGGCCGACGCCCAAGCCGTCGGCCGCGCCGACGGCCAAGCCGTCGGCCGCGCCCACGCCCGCGCCCACGTCCAAGCCCAGCGCTTCGCCGACGCCCGCGCCGTCGAACGCGCCGACGCCCAAGCCCTCGGCCAAGCCTTCCGAGGCGCCGACGGCCAAGCCTTCCGAGGCGCCGACGGCCAAGCCCACGGCCAAGCCGACGGAGATGCCCACGGAGAAGCCGACGGCCGCGCCTACGGAGAAGCCGACGGCCAAGCCGTCGGCCGCGCCTACGGAGAAGCCCTCCGAGGCGCCCACGCCGCGGCCTTCGGCCGCGCCCACCACGCCTTCGCCGACCGAGGAGCCGTCGGCCGTGCCGACGCCCGCGCCCTCCGGCGTCTGCGAGGACTGGACGACGTGGTACGAGGGCACCAGGAAGGCCCGCACCTGCGCGTGGGTGGCCGAGAAGCCCAACAGCCGCTGCGATCGCGAGTCCAAGGCCGGGGTGTCGGCCCGCGACGCGTGCCCGCAGACATGCGACGACGCCTGCGCGCCGACGGCGTCGCCGACGGCGTCGCCCACGGAGAAGCCAACCGCTGGGCCGACCGAGGAGCCGTCGGCCAAGCCGTCCGCGGCCCCGACGGCCGCCCCCACGGGCGCGCCCACGGAGGCGCCGTCCCCGGCGCCGTCCGCGGCCCCGACGGCCGCCCCCACGGGCGCGCCGTCGGCCGCGCCCACGGGCGCGCCCTCGGGCGCGCCGTCGCCCGCGCCGACTTCGTCGTCCACGGAGACGCCTTCGGCCGCGCCGACGGCGCTCGTCACGGACCCGCCGTCGGCCGCGCCGTCGGCCGCGGCCACCGACGCGCCCACGGGCGCGGACACGTCCGCCCCCACGGGCTCGCCGTCGGCCGCGGCGACGGGCTCGCCCTCGGCGAACCCGACGGCGGCGCCGACGGCCGTCGCGACGGACCCGCCGCGCGACGACCCGCCGCGCGACGATCCTCCGCGCGACGATCCGCCGCGCGACGATCCTCCGCGCGACGCGCTGCCGACCCCGGCGCCCAGCTCGTACTGGGAGTCGGATGACGACGACGACTCCTTCGGCGCGTCGTACAGCTACGACTTCGACGACGACTGGCTCGTCCCGACGGCCGCACCCGTCGCCAAGCTCACGCCCGCGCCGTCGGCCGCGCCGACGGGCATCGCGACGAGCACGCCGTCGGCGCGCCCCACGGCCATCGTCGTCACCGACGCGCCGTCGGCCGCGCCGTCGGCCGCGGCCACCGACGCGCCGACGGCCGCGGCCACCGACGCGCCGACGGGCACGGCCACCGACGCGCCGAGTGGCAAGCCGTCGGCCCGCCCTAGCTTCGACTTCGGCGACGACGACCACTTCGGCATGGGCTCGTACTCCTTCAGCTACGTCTGGGAGGACGACGACGACACGTGGGGCAAGCCCACGGCCAAGCCCATGGCCAAGCCGACGCTCGCGCCGACGTCCTCGCCGATGCCCGCGCCGACGTCCTCGCCGACGCCCGCGCCGACGTCCAAGCCCTCCTCGCGCCCGTCCGCCAAGCCTTCGCCCGCGCCGTCGCCCGCGCCGACGCCCGCGCCGTCGGCGCTCGACTTCGGCGACGACGACCACTTCGGCATGGGCTCGTACTCCTTCAGCTACGTCTGGGAGGACGACGACGACACGTGGGGCAAGCCCACGGCCAAGCCCGTGGCCAAGCCGACGCTCGCGCCGACGTCCTCGCCGATGCCCGCGCCGACGTCCTCGCCGACGCCCGCGCCCACGCCCGAGCCGTCGGCCAAGCCCTCCTCGCGCCCGTCCGACAAGCCGACGCTCGCGCCGACGATCGACTGGTCGTCGACGGACGACGCGTTCTCCTTCTCCTACTCGTACGTCTACGGCGGCGGCGACGACGACTGGACGGGCACCACCTGCGCCTGCTCCGCGTTCTACAACGGCGCCGACGCCGAGGACGAGTTCCTCTGCGTCAAGAAGTCCAACGGCGTGTGCCGCCCGCCCAACGGCGGCGACGGCCTCTGCCCGGGCGACCACGACATGTGCTCCAACAAGCGCAAGGGCTGAAGCCCCGGCAAGCCACCGGCGCCTCCGCCCTCCCCCGCCCCCCCCTGCCTGTTCACGATAAGAAAGCTACTTGTCCCCACGCCTCGAGTCCTGAGCCGCGCCGGCGGACGAAGCTCGCGCGGCCGCGCGCGAAGCGGGGAATGGCTTTGACACCGGCTGTGCGGCACGCACCTGGCTGAGGCAGCGCTGTAGATGGGCGAGACAAGCGGGACAAAGGGAGCGTACGTCGAGATTGCAGTCGAAGAAAGCGCAAGAAGAGACGACCACCTCGTAACTCCGCACGGTAGGCATCGGCTGTGGGGCGTGAACCTGGCTGACAGAGGCCCTTCTCGACGCGGGCCGTGAAATCTTGGAGCGTGATGATCGGAAGGGCGCCGCAGGCCAGCGCGAAACGCAGACCATACGCCAACGCAATAGCTAGAGCCATCTCCGCGGCGCGGAAGCGATGCACCATCTCGAACACGGTGCCGCCCGCAGACCACGCGTCCGCGCAGCGGCCGGTCGCGTCGTTGATCGCGACCATCGCGAGGATACCGTCGTCAACTATGCTAAACTGCTTCGACTGGCTCAGGCGACGCAGCACTGCATCCGACACCTCAACGGCGAAGCTGTGGACGTCGCGCCCTTGCGAACGAGCCTTCTTGAACACCTCTAGCACGTCGTAGACGCATCGCTGCGTTGTATCCCGGCAAGGGCAATAGGGTCGGCGCACACCCATGGCTGCGAGACGGCGCCGGATGCGATGCTCCGAAGGTGTCACCGAAGCAAGTTACCAGAAGCACTCCGATGTTGCAGGGCTCCTTCGGCCCGTCGCAACGCACAAGCCGGGCGCCACGGGTCCAGGTCCTCGCCGACGACGACGCCGCCGACGCCGCCAGCGACGCCGATACGCGCGATCCGCTGCTCGGGGCCGCCGCGACGGACGAGGACGCCGTCGCGGTCGCCCGCGCCGTCGACGCCCGCGCGCGCACGACTCGAATTGTCACGAACACCACGGAAGCAACAACGTAGAGTCGACGGAGACCCGTCGCGCGTGGCGCGAGGCCGACGTCGTCGTCGGCGGACGACGTCGTCGGCGCGCTGCGTCACGGCCGGCTCTGGCGAGCGCGAGCTCGCATTTTGCCACAAAACCGGAATAGAGAGCAGCCACAGCCACTCGCGTCGTCGTCCGGGAGCCAGCCGTCGTCGTCGTCCTCGACGCGGCTCCGCCAGCGCGTCGTCGTCCTCGACGCGGCTCCGGAGCGACTCGACGCCGTCGCGCTCGCGGCGGCTCAGCGGGTCCGGCCCGCCGCGCCGCGAGCTCCCCGGCGCCGGCGCAGCACGCCCACACCACCACCCGCTAGCTGCACAGACCGCCGCGCCGCCCACCGCGCCGCGCGCGGCGCGGAGCGCGTCGTGCTCCCAAGCCCGCGGCCACGCCGACGCCCGCGTCCCGCCGACCGCAGACCGCCGTTGCGACGCACCCGACCATGTTCGACGCCCTGGAGCCCGCCAACAACAACGGCAAGAGCAAGAATGCCAAGAAGAACGCGAAGAAGAAGTCCTTCGGCGGCGGCCAGGGCGAGTCGAAGAGCGGCGGCGACGACGGCCTCGACTCGCTCGACGCGAACCTCGTCGAGGCGCCGCGGCTTCTCGAGCTGCCGCTCGAGTTCGCGCGGTCGACGAACTTCAAGGTCGAGACCTGCGAGGACGACGCGCCCGTCGACGGCGGCGCGGCCTTTGATCGCCGGGGTGTTTCGACGACGACGCTTCCGACGCGCGCCCCGTTCGCGGCGAGAGTCGGTGCTCGCCGGCTCGAGTACCGGCGCTGGCGCGGCTCGAGAGTACCGGCGCTGGCGCGGCTCGAGAGTGAGGCCGTCAAAATCCGACGCGCGCCCCGCTCGCGGCGAGAGTCCGCCCCCGGTGCTCTCGTCGGCGAGAGTGCCGGCGCTGCCGCGGCTCGAGAGTAATGGCGCTGGCGCGGCTCGAGAGCGAGGCCGTCAAAATCCGACGCGCGCCCCGTTCGCCCGCCATACTCCACTTTACCCCTAGGTGACGGCCCCGACGTCGACGCGTCGGCGCTCTCCTTCGGCACGCTCCTCGCGGCGTTCGCGTCCGTCCTGAGCAGGGCAGCAAAAGGGTGATTCACGTCGCTTCAACGTGATTGTTCCGCGCGCGCGCGTTTCGGAAACAGCACCGACGCTTCGAGAGCGCTCCGAGAGATGATCGCTCGTCCAAGAATCAGCCGAAACGAGTGGAAAACGGCCGAGAGAGGAGCCTTTGAAGTTGGGAATTTTTCACCCTTTCGCTGCCCAGGTCCTGAGCCTCCACGCGCGCCAGGAGACCGTCGTGCTCGGCGTCGACGGCATCGCCGTCGCCGTCGTCTGCGCGCCCGGCGACGACCTGCTGGCGCGCCTCGACGGCACGCGCGAGGCGCTCACGGTCGCGCGCGCGTCCGTCTTCGAGTCCGTCGACGCCATCGTCAAGGCGACGAAGACCGTCGTCGACAAGTCGTTCCACCCGCTCTACCAGGCGGGCCTCGCGTCCGCGGGCGCGCCGCCGGAGAAGCGGCGCGGCAAGGCGGCGGCGCCCCTGGACCTCGAGCTCGGCCTCCAGGCCGTCGACGGCAAACCGTGCCTGCTTCTGACGTTCCGCGCGGACCTGTTCTCGCGCGACACGGCGCGGCGGCTCCTCGCGCAGACGCGGCGCATGCTCTGCGCCTTCGCGGCGCGCGACGCGTCCAAGCTCGCGAAGACGCGCGTCGGCGACGTCGCGCTCGACTCGGAGGCGGAGCGGCGCGCGACGCTGCTGGCCGCGAACGAGACGAAGCGGCCCTGGCCGGAGAAGAGCTGCATCCACGACCTGCTCTTCGCGGCGGCGCGCAAGCACCCGACGGCCGCGGCGCTCAAGTACGACCTCGCGCTCGCGAAGACGACGTACCGCGCGCTCGGGTCCGCGATCGCCGTCCTCGCGGCGCGGCTCGCGGCGCTCGGCTGCCTGGGGCCGGACGCGCCCGTCGCGCTCCTGCTGGAGCGGGACCCGTCGCTCGTCGTCGGCGTCTACGGCGCGCTCGCCGCGGGCGGCTGCTACGTGCCCCTCGAGCCCGACTACCCGCTCGAGCGCATCAAGACCGTCGTCGAGGACGCGGGCTGCTCCGTCGTCGTGACCCAGCAGCGCCTCGTCGACGGCCCGCTCAAGGCGCTCCTCGGCGAGGGGTCCGTGGAGCTGCCCGCCGTCGTGCAGGCCGTCGTGCCCCTCAAGTTCGGCGCCGACGACGCGGGCGGCCTCGACGTCTTCGGCGGCGGCGACCGCGACGACTGCGGCGCCGGCGCGCGCGCGCCGACGACGACGCCGGGCCACCTCGTCTACATCTTCTACACGTCGGGGACGACGGGCAAGCCCAAGGGCGTCGCCGTCGAGCACCGGGGCCTCGTGCGGCGCATCGCGTGGTTCGACCGCCTCTACCCCCTGAAGGCGGGCAGGGACGCGATGCTCCTGAAGACGACGTACACCTTCGGCATCTCCGAGTGGGAGCTGTTCTGGGCGCCGACGACGGGCGCGACGACCGTCGTCGCGAACAACGAGGGCCACCGCTTCGCGTCCTACGTCGCCGACATCATGCTCGCGGGCGACGTCACGGCGTGCTGCTTCGTGCCGTCGGCGCTCGCCGCGCTGTGCGAGACGCTCATCGGCGACCACCCGGGCGTCAAGGCCAAGGTCCGCGTGGCCATCTCCTGCGGCGAGGCGCTGCCCGCGGCGACGGCGAAGCTCTTCTTCCAGGCCTTCGACGGGGGCGCGAAGCTCAACAACGTCTACGGCCCGACGGAGGCGGACATGACGTACTACGAGATGGACAGGGCCACGGCGCTGGCCATGGCGCGGCCGCCGCCCATCGGCCGGCCCATGGACAACGTCACGGCCTACCTCCTCGACGAGCGGCTGCGCCCCGTCCCGGCGGGCGCGCCGGGCCACCTCCACTTCGGCGCGCCCCACGCGTGCCGCGGCTACGTGAACCTGCCCGACGCGAACGCCAAGGCCTGGGTCAAGAACCCCTTCAAGGGGTCGCCCTACGTCTCGTCGAAGACGCCCGTCGGCGACAAGCTCTACGCGACGGGCGACCTCGCGCGCTGGCTGCCCTCGGGCGACCTCGCCTTCTGCGGCCGCGTCGCCGTGGGCCAGATCAAGCTCCGCGGGTCCCGCGCGGCGTCGAGCGACCGTTTCTTTTTTTCCGATTCGCCCGCCTCGGCTCGATCTGGGGGGTCCGACGTCGCGAAGTCCCAGCGCGAAGGCGGGGGTTCGGCCGAGGGGGGGCGCCTCGGCTCGTTCG